GGGGTGCAGTGCCTCACCATTCCACCAGAGGGCCAGAGCCTCTTTCTGATTGGCTACCCAGAGGGGGGTGGCGCCAGCACTTTTGGGGGGAAAATAAAGAGAGCCGTTTCTGAGGGGATTTGAGATGGGAGAGAGGGAAGGTTGAGAGAAGATGGGGATGAGGAGAGGGTGGAGGGAGGGAGGGAGAAGTGGCTCTGATCTGAGTGGATCATCCGCTCTGAGGAGAATATCTATGGAGCCAGAGGAAGGAGCCTCACAGCTGAGATGGGGAGACCATGTTGAGGGTCTGAAGGGAGTATTCAGATGGGAGAGAAGCTGGAGGGAGAAGATGTGGGAAGACTCTCCTCTTCTTCTGGGGTCTCCTTCCAGTCAGGAGGAGAGAGATCTTCTAGGAAAAGGAGATGCCAAAGGCCCCCCCAAAAGGGACCGAGGGAGATGCTCAGAGCCCAGCCAAGAGCCAAAGCCCCCTCCAAAGGGACCGAGGGAGATGCTCAGAGCCCAGCCAGGAGCCAAAGGCCCCCCCCAAAGGGACCGAGGGAGATGCTCAGAGCCCAGCCAGGAGCCAAAGGCCCCCCCAAAAGGGACCAAGGGAGATGCTCAGAGCCCAGCCAAGAGCCAAAGCCCCCCCCCAAAGGGACCGAGGAAGATGCTCAGAGCCCAGCCAAGATCCAAAGGCCCCCCAAAAGGGACCGAGGGAGATGCTCAGAGCCCAGCCAGGAGCCAAAGGCCCCCCCCCCAAAGGGACCGAGGGAGATGCTCAGAGCCCAGCCAGGAGCCAAAGGCCCCCCCCAAAGGGACCGAGGGAGATGCTCAAGATGCTCAGAGCCCAGCCAGGAGCCAAAGGCCCCCCCAAAGGGACTGAGGGAGATGCTCAGAGCCCAGCCAGGAGCCAAAGGCCCCCCCAAAGGGACTGAGGGAGATGCTCAGAGCCCAGCCCAGAGCCAAAGGCCCCCCCCCAAAGGGACCGAGGGAGATGCTCAGAGCCCAGCCAAGAGCCAAAGGCCCCCCCCCAAGGGACCGAGGGAGATGCTCAGAGTCCAGCCAAGAGCCAAAGGCCCCCCCCAGGGACCGAGGGAGATGCTCAGAGCCCAGCCAAGAGCCAAAGGCCCCCCCCAAAGGGACCGAGGGAGATGCTCAGAGCCCAGCCAAGAGCCAAAGGCCCCCCCCCAAAGGGACCGAGGGAGATGCTCAGAGCCCAGCCAAGAGCCAACGCCCCCCCCCAAGGGACTGAGAGAGATGCTCAGAGCCCAGCCAAGAGCCAAAGGCCCCCAAAAAAGGGACTGAGGGAGATGCTCAGAGCCCAGCCAAGAGCCAAAGGCCCCCCCCAAAGGGACCGAGGGAGATGCTCAGAGCCCAGCCAAGAGCCAAAGGCCCCCCCCAAGGGACCGAGGGAGATGCTCAGAGCCCGGCCAAGAGCCAAAGGCCCCCCCAAGGGACCGAGGGAGATGCTCAGAGCCCAGCCAAGAGCCAAAGGCCCCCCCAAAAAGGGACTGAGGGAGATGCTCAGAGCCCAGCCAAGAGCCAAAGGCCCCCCCACAAAGGGACTGAGGGAGATGCTCAGAGCCCAGCCAAGAGCCAAAGGCCCCCCCAAAGGGACTGAGGGAGATGCTCAGAGCCCAGCCAAGAGCCAAAGGCCCCCCCCAAGGGACCGAGGGAGATGCTCAGAGCCCAGCCAAGAGCCAAAGGCCCCCCCCAAGGGACCGAGGGAGATGCTCAGAGCCCAGCCAAGAGCCAAAGGCCCCCCCAAGGGACCGAGGGAGATGCTCAGAGCCCAGCCAAGAGCCAAAGGCCCCCAAGGGACCGAGGAGATGCTCAGAGCCCGGCCAAGAGCCAAAGGCCCCCCCCAAGGGACCGAGGGAGATGCTCAGAGCCCGGCCAAGAGCCAAAGGCCCCCCAAAGGGACCGAGGGAGATGCTCAGAGCCCAGCCAAGAGCCAAAGGCCCCCCCAAAAAGGGACTGAGGGAGATGCTCAGAGCCCAGCCAAGAGCCAAAGGCCCCCCCAAAAAGGGACTGAGGGAGATGCTCAGAGCCCAGCCAAGAGCCAAAGGCCCCCAAAGGGACCGAGGGAGATGCTCAGAGCCCAGGCAAGAGCCAAAGGCCCCCCCAAAGGGACCGCGGGAGATGCTCAGAGCCCAGCCAAGAGCCAAAGGCCCCCCCCAAAAGGGACTGAGGGAGATGCTCAGAGCCCAGCCAAGAGCCAAAGGCCCCCCAAAAAAGGGACTGAGGGAGATGCTTAGAACCCAGCCAAGAGCCAAAGGCCCCCCCAAAAGGGACCGAGGGAGATGCTCAGAGCCCAGCCAGGAGCCAAAGGCCCCCCAAAAGGGACTGAGGGAGATGCTTAGAGCCCAGCCAAGAGCCAAAGGCCCCCCCAAAAGGGACCGAGGGAGATGCTCAGAGCCCAGCCAAGAGCCAAAGGCCCCCCCCAAAGGGACCGAGGGAGATGCTCAGAGCCCAGCCAGGAGCCAAAGGCCCCCCCAAAAGGGACCGAGGGAGATGCTCAAGATGCTCAGAGCCCAGCCAGGAGCCAAAGGCCCCCCCAAAGGGACTGAGGGAGATGCTCAGAGCCCAGCCAGGAGCCAAAGGCCCCCCCAAAGGGACCGAGGGAGATGCTCAGAGCCCAGCCAGGAGCCAAAGGCCCCCCCAAAGGGACTGAGGGAGATGCTCAGAGCCCAGCCCAGAGCCAAAGGCCCCCCCCCAAAGGGACCGAGGGAGATGCTCAGAGTCCAGCCAAGAGCCAAACGCCCCCCCCCCCCAGGGACCGAGGGAGATGCTCAGAGCCCGGCCAAGAGCCAAAGGCCCCCCCAAAAGTGACCGAGGGAGATGCTCAGAGCCCAGCCAAGAGCCAAAGGCCCCCCAAAAGGGACTGAGGGAGATGCTCAGAGCCCAGCCAAGAGCCAAAGGCCCCCCCAAAAAGGGACTGAGGGAGATGCTCAGAGCCCAGCCAAGAGCCAAAGGCCCCCCCAAAAAGGGACTGAGGGAGATGCTCAGAGCCCAGCCAAGAGCCAAAGGCCCCCCCAAAAGGGACCGAGGGAGATGCTCAGAGCCCGGCCAAGAGCCCAAGGCCCCCCCAAAGGGACCGAGGGAGATGCTCAGAGCCCAGCCAAGAGCCAAAGGCCCCCCCAAAGGGACTGAGGGAGATGCTCAGAGCCCAGCCAAGAGCCAAAGGCCCCCCCAAAAGGGACTGAGGGAGATGCTCAGAGCCCAGCCAAGAGCCAAAGGCCCCCCCCAAAGGGACCGAGGGAGATGCTCAGAGCCCGGCCAAGAGCCCAAGGCCCCCCCAAAGGGACCGAGGGAGATGCTCAGAGCCCAGCCAAGAGCCAAAGGCCCCCCCAAAAAGGGACTGAGGGAGATGCTTAGAGCCCAGCCAAGAGCCCAAGGCCCCCCCCCCAAAGGATCCCTTGCCATAGGCGGAGCCAGGGGGAAGCTGCCCCCTTAGAGCCATTCAGAAAAATAAAGTGCTGAGGTTCAGAAAGTCGAGAGAGGACTGAGCTGGGGGGACTGGCCTTGCAAGGGTTAAAGGGAACCGAACTGCCTTCCTAGAGAGCACAGGAAGGGGGGGCGTTCCTCCAGAGCCCAGCCACCCCTCCCCAGTCTTTTCCTGCATCGCTGTCTCTCCTGGGATCTGGTGAGTCTCCTCTCTCTCTGGGATCTGGTGAGTCTCCTCTCTCTCTGGGATCTGGTGGGGGTCCCAGGGCTGCAGCAGGGGAGGAGGCTGGGGGGACCCCAAGCCAGGGAGGAGAGGGTCAGGGGTGGAAAGACCCCCCCATATGCTCCTGCTACCCAGAGGAGGAAGGAGCCCCGGGGCTGAGAGCCAGAGCTTTTTGCCAGACTCCCCAGGAGGAAGGTCAGGGAAGGAGAGAGGGGGGGGCCCAAGACAGGGAGGAGAGGGTCCTGCCAGGGAGGGGCCAGGTCTGCCACGCTCTCCTTCCTGCAGATCAGAGGGTCCCAAACTCATTTGGCCTTCCGCCCCCCCTTCAGAAAAAACGACTCCCCCGAAATCTCCCTTCTTCAAACAAAGGAGTCCCTGGGACTTTAACTCTGTGTGACATCGCTCAGCGTCATTGCACAAGAGAGGTAACATCTGCAAATGGTTTTCCAAAGCTGGACGAGGAGGTGGACTAGCCCCCCCCCCAACGAAAATCACGGGGAGAAAAGAAGGAAAGTCTGCCTGCCGCATTGGGGACCAGTTTCCCAGTGTCTCCCAGGGCAGCTCCCCACGGAGGCCACGGCAGCAATCCCCTCGCACCCAGAGCAGGGCATCCCAGGACCACATCCTCTCTCTCCCAAAGGGATTGTTGCTGGAAATGGGCGCTGTTACTCACTGAGCCTCCAGGGACCTTGGCGTCAATGGCTGTGTGTGTGTTAAGCCATCTAAGAGAATAATAATAATAAATTGGCCACCTAAATTTCAAGGGAGATGTCTTTGGCCCCACCCACTTGGCCCTTGTCCAGATACATTCCTGGCCCTCAGAGCAAAGAAAAAGGGACCCCACCCCAGGAGTCTGTCTGGAGAGCGGCAGAGAGACCAAGTGCAAGAAAAGGAGACAGAAGCAGGGGAGTGGGGGTGGGGGGAGCAACTCCTGAGGACCCCAGGTGAGGACCCCCACTAGAGCCAGGCATCCATTTTCCACAAGATACAAATTATTCCCTTGTCAGTCAGTCCTGACTTCTTGCATTTACCTCAGAGAAATCCCTTCAGTTGCCTCCACGTTTTGCATCGCAATCTTCCTTCTAGGGGGGCTAGAGTCTGCTTCCTCCTCCTCCTCCTCCGTCTTCTTCTTCAGAAGATATCTCATGGTTTGGTACAGTCCCACCCTGGTTCCTAGGAAGACTCATCCGTGCTTGCTCAAGGAACATTTCTCTTCTTATGACCTAAAAATTCTGTAACTAAACAATGTATTTGCTTTGTAGGATTTGCTAGCACCTCATTAGCACAGGCAGAACTTGGCAGAAGACCAAAGGGTTCCTTCCGATCTCTCAGAGGCTCCCTCAGGACACAGATGGATGAGCGAGACTCAGCTGGCCCTGGAACAGGAAGAGGCCATGCCATCCAAACTGGGAGCAGTGGGGGATTCTGGGAAAACTCTGGGCAGAAGATCCTGGGTGAGGAGGACACCCTCCGCGCAGAGGTGCAGAGCCAGCAGTTGAGGCAGTTCTGCTGCCAGGAGGCCAAAGGACCCCGAGAGGTTTGCAGCCGACTCTACCACCTTGACCATCAGTGGCTGAAGCCAGAAAGGCACACGAAAGCTGAGATGCTGGACCTGGTGATCTTGGAGCAGTTCCTGGCTGTCCTTCCACCGGAGATGGAGAGCTGGGTGAGGGAGTGTGGAGCAGAGACCAGTTCCCAGGCGGTGGCCCTGGTTGAAGGTTTCCTCCTGAGTCAGGCAGAGGAGAGAAAGCAGGTGAGAGAGACTTTCCTCTGGATACTCCTAAGGGGCTCCAAACAGGATGGAGAACATCCCATAATGCTCTACTGTTGGCCCATTCTTTTCCTGGGAAGGCATCCATAGAATGAGATCTAACACCCTTAAAGCGTCTGTCTTTGTCATTCTCTTTCTAACATTTCTCGCCATTCATTCTCTGTTTTGAATCCTTGTTGCTCTTTCAGAAAAGGGATCGTTTTGCAGAAATGGACCTGGATTCCTGTGAGGCAGAGAGGCCTTTGTTGGACACCAGAGAGAGGCCACTGGGTAAGGAGGAAGGTGGCTTTTCTCCGTTTGGTCTCGTTCTGTTGGTTTTCCAACTAATCTGTGAGATCTTTTTTTTTGGGGGGGGGGGAGGACAGTTGGGAACAAGGGTCCAAAGGAAGGGAGTAGTAGTTTTGCACAACTAACATATGAAATGGGCACAAACGTCCAACTGCACTCAGCAGGTAAGGCTTTCTGAAAGACCCATCTGTCATTAGAGATGCCCTGTTTCACCTGTGAGAGAAGCAGCCACTCCTGGCATCCTGCTTACGTTTTTTCTCTTGCAGGTGACAGAATGATGCTGGCAAAACCTCCTGATCCATCTTTTCCTGGGGGCAGAAGGGAAGCAGTGGCTGTGGAACCAGATCAGGTATGGGGAAGCTGCCTTGTGGGGAAAGAGGCTGAGGGATGGAGCAATGTCATGGACTGGTTGGGCACAGAGGAATGGTGGGAGGAAGCAGCCTGGGAACCAGGAAAGGAAGACGTCTCAGAGCCCAAGGAGTGAAGGTGGAGGAAGGATGAGCGGTCAGATGGAGAAGAGGGAGACGCCTGGGAAGAGGAGGTGTCAGAAGCTGAAGGGATAACAGGGCTTAGTGAGCTGGGAGACTCTGAGGCAGAATGCAGTCCAGAATCAGAGGCAGAAGAGGAAGGAAGCGAGTGGGAGGAGGAAGGTTGAGAGGCAGAGGTGAGTCAGGAGAAGGAGGAGCCACCGGGGGCTCCCTCTCCTTCTCCCAGAAGCCACCCTCCCTGCTTGTCTCTCAGAGCCAGGAGACGTCTGACAATGGGGGAGCAAAGGCAGGCTGCACACTGGCGCACTGTTCAATCGTATGCTAGAAAACCCCGGGGGGGGGGGCTTAGAAAGTTGTGGGGAGCCGGGGTCTTCACTCTCTTCAAACTTTGCACTATATAATCTCACTTTTCATATACCTCCACACTAAAGTAACTTCTACCTAGACAACTAGTCCATTAATCGATTGACAGTGCAAACTGACAGACCCTCCGGGAATGAGCTGCTCTTCTCATTAGGCCTGAAGCTCAGCCAAGTCTGTGAATATCGTGTTCTTGCTGATAAAGTGTTAATTCCAGCTGTGAACTATGGGATTTGCTGCCCAGATAACTCTGTGACACCAGCCTTCCGAATGTCGCGAGCAGGATTCATCTGTAGTTTCAGTTTTCATGGAATCCTAGAGTTGAAAGGGACCCCAAGGGTCATCAAGTCCCACTCCCTGCATTGCAGGAGTCTCAGCTAGATCACCCAAGACAGATGGCCATCCAAACTAGGCTTCTTGTATTTCTGTATTCATCACTGAGTGCTAAAATAGGCTTCTAAGCGGTGGACAGACGAGAACAAATAGAGGCCAGGATTCTCCTAGCCAGCCCCATCTGCTGCGAAATGGGGCCTGCCCCCCATTCCTCCCCCTCTCCATGCCCCCATGAACCCCTTGAATTTGGCTCTAGGGCACTGGGAGGGAACATCCCCAAAACAGCACACGGGGAGAGGAGAAAGTGGATCCTTCCATCGGGGAAACTGGAATGCTTGCGTAGGCAGAATAACGTGGAAAACATAAGCTGGAGAACCACCTATTTACACAAAGATGAATACCCATTGTTAAAATGCAAAATTAAGTAATTCAATTAAAACGTCAAAATAGCTACCCATAATTAAAATGTGCAGCAAAGCAATCCTATTGAAACAACGCAGCAGAATTAGATAAACTAACAGGAACATAGCTGTCAAGTGTCCCTTATTTGAAGGGACAGTCCCTTATTCCAGCGCCATGTCCCGCTGCTGTCCCTTATTGATGGATGTCCCTTAAATGATGTCCCTTAAATTCCAAAGGAAGCAGCTCCTCTCCCTCCCTTCCTGCCGGCCAGGGAGGAGGGAGGCTCCAACTGTGTTGCTTGGCTGTGTTGCTCACCCAATAAGAAGTCTAAGAACGACTGGGGGGTGGAGCTTGCATGCCTTGTGTGGCTAGTTAATGCAAGCTGAGGCGGTTTTTGAATGCTGGACGCCATTTTGTTGCATGTGCAGTGCAAAGCCAGGCCAGGGAGCCATCTTAAGTTGAGGCTGCATAGGCCTTGTGGTGCATGTGATTCAGATTCTATTCAGTTGAACCTCTGGTTACAAAGTTGGTTGGACAGTGTTCTCAGAGCTACCAGCATGAGTTTGACTAGACTGCAGGAGGACAGGAAGACTGGAGTGCCTGGAACAGGTGAGGCTGCAGGTCCCTTATTTTGGCTGCTGGTCCCTTATTTTCAAATCTGTAAGTTGACAGCTATGAACAGGAAGGATTCAAAACCGGCAAGACCAGAAATTCACGGAAGACTGGAGTAAATTGAAAAGTAATTGTGAATAACAGACGACGTTTGTAGGGTTGCAAGAAGTTTTGTGAGGAGTATTATTAGAAGTATGGGAAAAATGGACAAGGGGGAGGATGATTTGTTAAGAGATGTAAAGGCAATATAAAGTTAAGAAATGCATAAGAAGTGGTTAAAATGGTGGATCATCAGAGGTGCTCACGGAAGACTCAAAACATTGTATACGTGATTAGTTTTGTGGTACATGTTATAATTTATTAGTTAAAATTATTATATATATATATATATATATATATATATATATATATAAATAACGCAGCAATTAAGAGGAAGGAAAGAACAGAGCATTGTGTAGCAGATTATATTTCTGCTGTCTCAGAGGAGGACATTTCCCTTTTCTTTTAGGGTCCAGTGTGCTTTGAAGATGTTGCTGTTTGTTTCACGGACGAGGAGTGGGCGTTGCTGGATCCTGACCAGAGAGCTCTGCATAAGGACGTCATGGAGGAGAATTGTGGGATCGTGGCCTCTCTTGGTAAGGCTCCCTGTGGGATTGTCCTATCTGCCTGGAAATTCAAAAAATACCTCTATGTGACAAACCTCATATATTTTCTTTCTTTTCTTTTTTTTATTGGCATTTTCCAAAAAACAAAAAAACAAAACAAAACACTGACACAAAATGATAAATAATAAATAAAGAATTAAATAAAACATTCTTTGCAATCACACATTTTGTCATCATATCTACATTGCGCTAGATCACGCTTCGACTTCCCTCCTTCCCAGTTGCGGTTTTCTTAGTAATTCTCATCTCTTACAGTTTCATCGAGTTTTTTATATATACATCACAAGAGTTAATCTAATCCTGCTGTAGTCCTTAAGCTTCTACAATTAATTTCTATGTATGTTACAAATTTACTCCATTCTTCTACAAACTTAGATCCTTTTTGGTTTCTAATCCTATGTGTCATTTTCGCTAATTCCGTATATTCAAATAATTTTACCTGCCATTCCATAACATTTGGGATTTCTGATGTCTTCCATTTTTGTGCAACTAAAATCCTGGCTGCCACCATTGCATACTGAAATAACTTATGATCAACCTTTTTTATTTCGTCCCCTATTATCCCTAATAAAAATGCCTCCGGGTTTTTTGGAAAGGTATACCTAACAATTTTCGTTAATTCATTATATATTAGATCCCAGAATCTTTTCATTTTCTCGCATGTCCACCACATATGATATAGGTCTCCATCTTTACATTTCCAGCAAGCTTTGTTTCCCGTTTTATACATTTTTACTAATTTGACTGGGGTAATATACCACCTATACATCATTTTTTCTAGGTTTTCCCTTAAAGTGGAACATGCCGTAAATTTCATTCCCTTATTCCATAAAGTTGTCCATTTCTCATAATCTATGTTATAACCCAGGTCAATCGCCCATTTTACCATCACCTCCTTGTTTTTGGTATCCCATTCCAATAGAAGACTGTACATCGTCGATAAAAGCTTTGTTTTCCCTTCCAAGATTTCTGTTTGATATTTAGATTTTTTCTCATTGAATCCTAATTTTTTATCTTCATTCCATAAAGCATTTACCTGGTGATATTGTAACCACCCTGTTAATTTGTTTTTTAATTCCTCATATGTTTTAATTTTCCATCCTCTCTCCCTTTTTACTAAAATTTCTTCATAAGTTATTCTTTTTCCTTCCATGTTCAGTTTTTTTGTTGTTAGTATGTCTATCGGTGAAAGCCACCAGGGTGTGTTTCTTTCTAATAATTTTTTATTTTTCTCCCAAACTTCATATAGAGCACCTCTAAAAATGTGATTCGAAAAGCCTCTATGAACCTTGGCCTTATTAAGCCACAAATAAGAATGCCAACCATTGTTGTTGTTGTTTAGTCGTTTAGTCGTGTCCGACTCTTCGTGACCCCCTGGACCAGAGCACGCCAGGCACTCCTGTCTTCCACTGCCTCCTGCAGTTTGGTCAGACTCATGCTGGTAGCTTCGAGAACACCGTCCCACCATCTCGTCCTCTGTCATCCCCTTCTCCTTGCACCCTCCATCTTTCCCAACATCAGGGTCTTTTCCAGGGAGTCTTCTCTTCTCATGAGGTGGCCAAAGTATTGGAGTCTCAGCTTCAGGATCTGTCCTTCCAGTGAGCACTCAGGGCTGATTTCCTTAAGAATGGATACGTTTGATCTTCTTGCAGTCCATGGGACTCTCAAGAGTCTCCTCCAGCACCAGAATTCAAAAGCATCAATTCTTCTGCGATCAGCCTTCTTTATGGTCCAGCTCTCACTTCCATAAATCACTACTGGGAAAACCATAGCTTTAACTATACGGACCTTTGTTGGCAAGGTGATGTCTCTACTTTTTAAGATGCTGTCTAGGTTTGTCATTGCTTTTCTCCCAAGAAGTAGGCGTCTTTTAATTTTGTGACTGCTGTCACCATCTGCAGTGATCATGGAACCCAAGAAAGTAAAATCTCTCACTGCCTCCATTTCTTCCCCTTCTATTTGCCAGGAGGTGACGGGACCAGTGGCCATGATCTTCGTTTTTTTGATGTTGAGCTTCAGACCATATTTTGCGCTCTCCTCTTTCACCCTCAATAAAAGGTTCTTTAATTCCTCCTCACTTTCTGCCATCAAGGTTGTGTCATCTGCATATCTGAGGTTGTTGATTTCTTCCGGCAATCTTAATTCCAGCTTGGGATTCATCCAGCCCATGCCAACCATATCTGTTGTTAAATCCTTCTAAATCCAATAAATCCGTGTTTTCTAACGTAATCCATTCCTTGATCCAACATAGACAAGATGCTTCATAATATAATTTTAAATTTGGAACAGAGAATCCCCCTCTTTCCTTCCAATCTGTTAATAATTGAAATTTAATTCTTGGTCTTTTTCCTTGCCAGATGATTTTTGACAGTGTTTTTTGCCAATCCTTCAATTGTGTTGATCCCTTAATTACTGGAATTGTCTGAAAAAGAAATAGCATCTTCGGAAGAATGTTCATTTTTATTGCGGCCATTCTCCCAGACCAAGATAGCTTTATTCTATTCCATGTGTCCAAATCTCTTTTAATTTCTTTCCATGTTGTATTGTAGTTATCACTGATTAAATTAATGTTTCTCATTGTTAATTGGATCCCTAGATATTTCACTTTTTTCGCTACTTTAATTCCATATTTTTGTTCTAACTGCTCTGTCACATACTTCTCCAGATTTTTGGTCATAAATTTTGTTTTTGTTTTATTTAATTTAAATCCTGATAATTTACCAAACTCCTCTAATTCTTGTAATGCTGTACCGACTGGTTCTTCTAGAGTAAGTACCAGGTCGTCCGCATACGCTTTCAATTTATATTCCTTCTTTCCAATTTTGATTCCACGAATTTCCGGTATTTTCCTCATCCTGTTTGCTATCACCTCTAGAACCATTATAAATAGCAGGGGGGATAGAGGGCATCCTTGTCTCGTTCCTTTTGTAATTTCAAATGACTGTGTCAAATTGTTATTAATAATTAATTTAGCTGTTTGTTTAGAATATGTAGCTCTTATACCCTTCATAAATGTTCCTTCTATCCCCATTGCTTCCATACTTTTTAATAAAAACTGCCACGACACATTGTCGAACGCTTTTTCTGCGTCAATGAAAATTAACACTGCTGGTATTTCATTTCTGATTTCCAGATATTCTATGATGTTTACAATGTGTCTTATATTATCTTTAAGTTGTCTATTGGGCAGAAACCCAGCTTGATCTTTATGAATGAGGTCTTTCAAGCTTCTTTTCAATCTATCTGCTAATATGTTTGTAAAAATTTTATAGTCATTATTTAACAAAGAGATGGGTCTGTAATTTTTGATATTTAATCTGTCCGTGTCTGGTTTAGGGATCAGAGTTATGTGCGCTTCCCTCCATGTGTTCAGTATATTCCCTCCTTGCATAATATTATTCATAACTTCACCTAATGCAGGGATAAGTTGTTCGTCCAAGGCTTTGTAATGTTTTGTCGAAAGTCCATCTGGGCCTGGAGCTTTGCCTGTTTTCATCCTTTTTATTGCATTTTGGATCTCTTCTGTTGTTATTGGCTTATTCAATTGTTCTTTTTCTTCCTCTGTTATTTTTTCCCCTTTGAAATTTTCTAAATATTTTTCTATTTTGCTTGTCTCCTCATTCTCCTTCTTATATAAGTCTTCATAAAATTTTTGGAAGATTTTTTTTATTTCCCTTGGATCTTCTATCTGACGATCTCCTAATTTTATTTTATTTATCACACTTTGTTTTTGTCTTTTTCTTAATTGCCATGCAAGGAGTTTTCCTGTTTTATTGGCTGATTCAAAAAATTTTTGTCTCATTAATTTAATTTTCCATTCCACCTCTTGGTTTACTAGTATCAGAAATTGGGTTTGTAACATTTGAATTGCTTGTTTGTTCTGATCATCTTTGGGTTTTATCGTTAATTTCTTTTCACACTCTTCCAATTGTGCCAGGACGTCTTCTTTTTTCTTTTCTCTCAGCTTTCTTCTGTAATTATTTTGTTTTGAGGAAACCTCTCATGACTGCTTTGCTTGCATCCCAAACAACTTCCAAACTTGTTTCCTTGTTTAAGTTCCATCTAAAATACTCTTTCAGGCTTTCCTTGGTTTTTTCAATAACCTCAGAATTCTCAAAAAGATTTTTGTTCATCCTCCATCTATATGTACCTTGTACACTGCTTTTTACCTCTAAAATTATGGGATTATGATCAGATAAAGTTTGGGGTAGAATTTCACATTTCAATATTCTTGGGGTTAGTTGTCTTGTTTTGTTTTGTTTTTTAAATGATTTTTATTAAAGTTTCAATAAAAAGTTGAACAGAAGACATAAAAAAGAAATACACAAATGCACAGTACATAATCCAAAAAAAGAAGAAAAACACAGAGAACAGAAAGCAAAAAAAAAAAAGAAAGAAACATGTCAGGGAACTGCCATCGGAAGGAAGGGAGGTGAAAGGGCTCACACAGGTTGGGAGAGACTCAGCAGCTGAAGAGGGAACCAGTAGGGGGAGAGGAGCTGAGCTGAGGGAAAGTGAGCTGGAGGGATGGCTCAGAGACACTTCCAGCGAAAACAGTGGGGAGGTTTCAGGACCTCCTGTAGGGACACCCACTCCTCGCCGGAAACTGTCACGCAGAGAGTCCAGAAGACGTGTTTCCGTTAAGGAGCTTTTATGTTGGAAGCGATTCCAAAGCAACCACTGTCGGAATCTGCTAGTGACTAGAGGAGCCATGTCTGAGGGGCTCCGTCACAGACAGAGGTTTGTGGACTTGAACAAACTCTGAGGGGATACGATTTTACGCACAAGCAGCTCATCATCCCATCACAGCATTCCGACAGTCTTTGAAAGCAGCTTGTGCAGGAGAAGGCATCATGAGCAACCCAGCCGGAACCGGAGAAGCAGGAGCTGGAGCGGGTCCAAGCCTGGAAGAAAGGTACCGGGTGTTGGAGGTCCAGCTAGCGCTGCAGACGGCGAGGCTTGAGGAGAGGAGGGCTCAGGATGCAGACAAAAAGGGAAAGCCACCCAGCTCGCCAGAAAGGTACCAGGATTGGTGCAGAAGTTTGGGGGGGAGCCCAAAGACTATCATGGCTTTCGGACAGAGATGCAATATGCCCTCAATCTGCAGTTTGATGAATTCCCTGACGAGGAATCACGAGTGGCTTTCGTGATTGGGCATCTTGAAAAGGGTGCGAGAGACTGGGTTAGACCCCTGATGGCAGCGAATAGTGACGTCCTAAAGGACACGATGAAGTTCTTTCGCGCCATGGATCTGATGTTTTCCAGCGATATTGAACAGGGAGTGGTGCGCAGACAGTTAATGGCTTGCAAACAGGGGAGCCGATCTGTCCGTGAGTACTGGACTGAGTTCACCATGCTGGTTCACAGATTGGGGTGGGACTTATCGGCGGAACCCATTCAAATGCTCTTTGAAGAAGGGCTTTCTTCGGCTGTGAAAGACGAACTTTCCCGGGCGCCCAGGGCGGAGTCTATGGACCAGCTGACCAAATCAGCGCTGACCATAGGAGCGCGCCAGGAGGCGAGAGCATTGGAGAGGCGGGAAGGGAAGGGGAAACGTTGGAAGGAGTTCCGCATTCCAGACATTCCAGAGCCAACTTTCCCGCCGGCAGAGCCGATGGAAATCGGAACAGCGCGCGCGCGCAGTTTCAAAGCCCAGTGAGGGGGAAAGAAGGAGGGAAAAGGCGCCCGGAAATGCTATCTCTGCCAACAGCCAGGTCACTTTGCCAGAGTCTGCCCCCAGAGGAAGGAATGGCAAGGGATGTTAGGAGCTGTGGAGGGAAGAGAGGAAGAAATACCGGAGCAAGTTTAAGCCAACGCCTGGCTGCCACCGTCGGGGCACAGCAGCCAGGCCAAAGAGCAGTGAGAGTGCCCACGCCAGAACCTCCTAAACCCGCCCTAGTGATAGAAGTGGCGCTAGAGCTGCCAAACGGACACCCTCTAAAGATAAAGGCGCTGTTGGACTCAGGCAGCTCCTGCAATTTCATGAGCAAAGAGTTTGCAGCTGAACACCAGATACAGACGATCCCTTTAAGCAACCCCCTGCAGGTGACCACGATCGATGGCAGGGAGCTGTTGGGAGGAGAAGTCAGCTTGCAGACCGTCCCAATGATAATGAAGGTGGCAAGGCACACCGAACTGATAGCGTTTAATGTGGCCACCTTGGGAGGAGCTCCCATTATATTGGGGATGAGCTGGCTAGCGTTACATGATCCGCTGGTGGGCTGGCATCAGAGAGTGGTTTCTTTTGGTTCAGCACATTGCTTAGAACACTGCAAAGAGGGAAAGGGTTTGGCAGGGGCCCAAGCCACCCTAGCAGGGACTGAAGTAACGGAGAACGTGAAGGTACCACGACAATACGCAGATCTCCGCGACGTCTTCAGCGAAAGGGAAGCTGACCAACTACCCCCCGCATAGACCCTTTGACTGTCAAATCAATTTAGTCCCTGGGGCACAGCTCCCTGTAGGCAAGCTGTACGCCATGTCAGACAGAGAGATGCAGGAGCTAAGAGAGTTCATTGACAAGAACCTGAAGAGAGGGTTCATCAGAGAGTCCAGGGCGGTGGGGGGCAGCCCAGTGTTTTTTTGTGGATAAAAAAAACACGAACAAGCCGAGGCTGGTGTGTGACTTCAGGGCCTTAAATGCAGTGTCAGAACCAGTGGCCTTCCCTATGCCCAGGATTGACGACATTTTGACAAGGGTGCGGAAGGGAAAGATTTTCACAAAGCTGGACCTAAGGGGGGCGTACAACCTGATACGAATAAGGAAGGGGGATGAATGGAAAACCACCATGTTCACCCCTTTAGGGGCATTTGAATATTTGGTTATGCCCTTCGGCCTACAAGCAGGCTCCGCATGCTTTCAATCGTTTATGAACCACGTCCTGGGGCCTTTGCTTTACAAGAATTGTGTGGCCTTCTTAGACGACGTGTTGGTGTATTCTGAGAATGAGGAGCAGCATGTGAGAGACGTCAGAGAAGTGTTGAGCAGGCTGCAAGCCAACCAGCTGTGGGTGAAACTGGAGAAGTGTCAGTTTCATACCAAGGAGGTGGAATTCCTGGGGTATCGCCTGTCAGACAAGGGATTGGCCATGGATCCCGGCAAGGTCCAGGCGGTGCTGGAATGGAAAACACCCAAAACAAGGAAGGATGTGCAGAGGTTCCTAGGATTTGGGAACTTCTATCGTAAGTTCATCCAAAACTTTGCCCACCTGACGGCGCCCATTACGGACTGTCTCAGCAGTAAGAAGAAGTTCGTTTGGACTGAGGAGGCGGAGCGAGCATTTGAGGAACTAAAAAGGGCCTTCGCCTCGGAACAACAACTCCTGCATGTGGATTTACAAAAACCGATGAGAGTGGAAACTGACGCATCAGGTGGAGTATTTGGTAGCGTGGGAAGGAGAACCGGAGTCAGAAAACACTTGGGTAATGGCCGAAGATATCAATGACGAGGTATTGATAGAAACGTTCCATCAAAGGTTCCCAAGGAAACCTCAGCCTGTGGAGAGGTTCCGGAGGGAATACTTTGGGACCACTGATGAGGAGGAGGAGTTGGAAGGATTCCCGGACTCGGAAGGGGAGGGGAGATGGACTCTGAGGAGGAGGAGTACTTCGAGACCAGGAACCGCAACAGGTGGAGAGAAGTGTTCGAGACATCGGAAGATGAAGGAAGTTCATTCCGGGGTTTTGCCTCCTCACCGCCCGTAGAGGAGGGGGCGAGAGGGGGTGAAGGGGGCCCTGGAGGGGAGGTGGATGTCAGGGAACTGCCATCGGAAGGAAGGGAGGTGAAAGGGCTCACACAGGTTGGGAGAGTCTCAGCAGCTGAAGAGGGAACCAGTCGGGGGAGAGCTGAGGGAAAGTGAGCTGGAGGGATGGCTCAGAGACACTTCCAGCGAAAACAGTGGGGAGGTTTCAGGACCTCCTGTAGGGACACCCACTCCTCGCCGGAAACTGTCACGCAGAGAGTCCAGAAGACGTGTTTCCGTTAAGGAGCTTTTATGTTGGAAGCGATTCCGAAAGCAACCACTGTCGGAATCTGCTAGTGACTAGAGGAGCCATGTCTGAGGGGCTCCGTCACAGACAGAGGTTTGTGGACTTGAACAAACTCTGAGGGGATACGATTTTACGCACAAGCAGCTCATCATCCCATCACAAAACAGAACAATTAAAAACAATATCGCCTTTTCATTTCCGTTTTTTAAAATTACTTATTTTCTGGACCTCCTCATACCTCCCTCTTTTGTATCCCAGTCCAAATTGTTTGTCCAGCAATTTCTTTTCCACTTTTTTAATCCCAATCTTTAATCTTAATGTAATATAGCATTAAAATTTTACCTCTTAAGTACCAAATTTCCATTTCCTTAAACTTCTTTAATCCTAATCTTTAATCTTAGTCTATCTATAACTTTATCCTGTACAGCTGGAAACCACTTATTTTCAATCCATCATCACTCTAACATTCTTTAATTTTGCAGTGTTTCTGTAAATAATCTTTGAATTTTGGGGTTAGTTGTCTTGAGGTCCATATTTGGTCTATCCTTCCCCAGCTTTGATGTGGCTCCGAGAAAAAAGTGAATTGTTTTGTAGTTGGATGTCTAAGTCTCCAGACATCTATCAGTTCCAGGTTTTCCACCAAATTAAAAAAAGTCTTTGGTAGTTTACCCTGGTTGGCTTTCTTTTTTATTGATCTGTCCATTTCTGCCATTACCACACCATTGTAATCTCCCATTAGAATAGTTTTTTGATCTTCTATTTCTAATAATCTTTCTTCTAACTTCCTGTAAAACTACTTTGTTTGTGTTTGGTGCATAAATTGCAACCACATTTATTTTTCCCCCTTGGTAATTAATTTGTACCCCCAGTACTCTCCCTTCTTCATCTTTGCATGGTTCCCATTTCTCTTTAACATATAACACTACCCCTCTCTTCTTAATCACATCTGAATTTATAAATTCTACCCCTAATCTTTTATTTTTTTAAATATGTTTGTGTTTTTTAGCAACGTGTGTCTCTTGTAAACAAATTACGTCAAGGCTTTTTTTCTTCAAAACATTCTCTAGTTATTTCTCTTAGATTTCTTGTTTAGTCCGTTCACATTCCAAGTTATTAATTTCAAAGTCATTGTAATATATTCTAATCAACCGTAATTAGATTCAAATTCAGATTCTTGTGGTTTCCCCCTTTAGGTTCTCCTCTTCAAATTCTTTCCCCTCTTCTTCCTCTTCTATTTCCTCTTCTTCTTCTTCTTCTTTTTCCTCTTCTTCTCTTTCCTTCTCCTTCTCCTTCTTCTTTCTTCTTTCTTCTGGTTCAGATTCCTTTTCTCCAAATCTATATATTGGTCTATCTGCTTCTACCTTTCCTAACTCTTTCTCGTATCTCCTTATAAATTTCTTCACTTCTTGAATATCAGTCAATCTAAATATTTTGTCTTTATAGTAGAAGGAAATCCCTTCTGGGAATTCCCACCTATGTTGTACACCATTTCTTTTCAGCACACTCACCCGTTGTTTATAACCATCTCTTGCGTAGAAATCTCATAGGAATTTCTTTAAAGATAATAATAGGCCTGCCATCTATTATCAATTTTTTTGGTAACTCATTTTCAATATTGTGTTTCTCATATCTAATGAATTAAATATCATTAGACAATCTCCTGGTAGTTTTTTAGATTTAGCCTTTAAGGATCTTACTTTGATTCTAAATGCATTCTCCACAGTATATTCAATTTCTTCTTCTTTCATATCCATCCATCTTGCCAATTCTCTAATCATTTTAATTTTTATATTTTCATTCATTTCTTCCCCTACACCTCTAAATTTCAGATTCAATTGTCTCTGCCTCATTTCGAGCATGGCTAAACAGTCCCATACCTGCTCCTGAATTTTATTCAGGTCCCCTATCTCCTCCTTGATCTTTTCTGTCTCCCTTTTATTTTCTTTCACCTCTTTTTGAATCCTTTTAGTTGATTTTTCAATTGTTTTAGATCTAACTGTCAGATCCTTAATCTTGTTTGTGAGCTCCCCCACCACCCCCTCTATTTTCTTGTCTAGCATTTCTTGTACTTCTCCTAATTTTTTCTCCATGTGTTGTTCATTTTGTTTAAATTCTTCTTTTATTTTCAGCCATAAAATATCCAAATCTTTGATCTCTTCTTGTCTGGAGATTTTCCTTTCTCCTGGACTTCCCCCAATTTTTTCCTCATTTTTTCCTGACATTTTATACAGTTCCAATATAAATTCACTATATTCCGATATAAATTCAATATATTCCAAAATATATCTGCTTCCGTAATAACAGTTTTCTGCTACAAGGGTGTAGGTGTCCACCACAAAACCTTAAATACATATCCCCCAGAGTAGCAAAATGTCAAATGGCAGAAAAAGAATATAATATCCTGCAGATACTCACTAGACCTCTAGATGTCACACTCACCCTCCCTTCCTTCTGCAATGACTAATCACTGTTATCTATCTATTTCCCAATTTACATTACTCAAATCATTAATTATCTCATGAATAGCACACCATACATTCAGTCATATCAAATAATATGAAAATAAAGAATTGCTAAAGAAATTTAGTTATTAGTCCCAATTATAAATTTATCTGAAGGAGCTTCTCTTCTGTTCTTCTCTGTGTTTAACTCAGTCTTTCTGTAGTCTTCAGCCACTTGTAGACCTAATCCACCACGCTGAATTTGAGGGAGGACTTTAAAACACTGAAACTTTAAAAATATATAATATATATATATAAAATATATAAAAATATATATCTCTACCGCCTCAATCCAAAAAAGATAAACCTAAACCCAATATCCATTATCAAATTTCAAATTTCCTTTTCTTGGCCTCTTTTTGGCCTAATCCATTGGAGTGTGTTATATCGCCCTTTCGTGTCCAAATCGTGTCCAAATCAAATCCAAAAGAAAAAGAAAAAAAGGGGGGGAATTACGTTTAAGCTCTTCTCTTTTTTTAGCCTCTTGTTGGCTTAATCCTCATGAGGATAAAAGAAAAGCAGAGAGGGAGTAAAAGGGAGTAAAAGTCAATAAGAGTCAGTACCCAGGGAGGAGAAAATACCATTAAAAGAAAGATTAGCAGTCTGCCAGGGGAGAAAACAATAATCCACTTTGCAATATATATGAAGCATAAATGTGTGTGGCTTAATAGCCTCTATTTAAATTCCATTTGGTTCTAATCTTTTTTTTTTGTCCTCGTAAAATGTCTCTTTAAACTTCTTAAACCACCTTCCCTCTCTCCCTCATATGTCTTCTCCCAAAGTTTCTACTTATCTCTTCTTCAGCTCTTTGTTTTAAAGTAGCCTTTGCCTCAGCACATTGTTACTGAGGACTTTCACTTTTGTACTCACTCAGCAGAGACTGTTATTTCCTTTTTCTGCTCTTGCGACTTTCTATCACTGCGCCATTTTCTCTCCGCTGCTGGGATAGACTCCCTTCTTCATCCTACCACATCTGAATTGAACAATCATTATTGCATTACATTCTTGATTAAATTATCTTTCCATTGATATATAATTTTATGATATTACTCCAAAAGAAGTGGTTTTATGAGCCATCAAACGTCTGAAATACACTTTTTTCCAAAAGGCTTCCACAATTTTGGCCACTACTGTATATCAAACAAAGCAACATTCAACAACCCATAAGAATCCAATAATAAATATGTTGGTTAATGACAAACAACAAAGGTAATGAACACACACACAGTTCCTTTCAGTTCTTCTCCATTTCTTCCCAAGGCTCTAATCCCTTTTTGTCTCCATTGCAGATTGTGATGAATTGGAAATCGAGAACAAGGGTGACCACAACAAAATCCCCAGAGAGGAGAAGCCACGTGAAAATTTGGAGTGTGGCGAGAGCTGCAGTCAGAGCTCCCATTCCACTTCCCATCAACAAAATCTCATCGGAAAGAAACCCCATCAGTGCATGGAATGTGGAAAGAGCTTCACTAATAGCTCCTATCTCACTTCCCATCAGAGAATTCATACAGGGGAGAAACCCTATCAGTGTGTGGAATGTGGAAAGAGCTTTAGTAGGAGCGACCATCTCAATACCCATCAAAGAATTCATACAGGGGAGAAACCCTATCAGTGTGTGGATTGTGGGAAGAACTTCGCTGATAGATCCACTCTCACTTTCCATAAAAGAATTCATACAGGGGAGAAACCCTATCAGTGTGTGGAATGTGGAAAGTGCTTCAGTCAGAGCCGTCATTTCACTTCCCATCAAAGAATTCATACAGGGGAGAAACCCTATCAGTGTGTGGATTGTGGGAAGAACTTCCGTCAGAGATCCTATCTCACTTCCCATCAAAAAATTCATACAGGGCAGAAACCCTATCAGTGTGTGGATTGTGGGAAGAACTTCACTGATAGATCCACTCTCACTTTCCATAAAAGAATTCATACAGGGGAGAAACCATATCAGTGTGTGGAATGTGGAAAGAGCTTCAGTAGGAGTTCCTCTCTCAATTCCCATAAAAGAATTCATACAGGGGAGAAACCATATCAGTGTGTGGAATGTGGAAAGAGCTTCAGTCAGAGCCACAATCTCAGTTCCCATCAAAGAATTCATGCAGGGGAAAAACCCTATCAGTGTGTGGAATGTGGGAAGACCTTCACTCATAGATCCTCTCTCACCTCCCATCAGAGAATTCATACAGGGGAGAAACCCTATCAGTGTGTGGAATGTGGAAATAGCTTCAGTCACAGCCACAGGCTCACTTCCCATCAGAAAATTCATACAGTGGAGAAACACTATCAGTGTGTGGAATGTGGAAAGAGCTTCACTAATAGCTCCTCTCTCACTTCCCATCAAAGAATTCATACAGGGGAGAAACCATATCAGTGTGTGGAATGTGGAAAGAGCTTCAGTAAGAGCTGCAATCTCACTTCCCATCAAAGAATTCATACAGGGGAAAAACCCTATCAGTGCATGGAATGTGGAAAGAGCTTCAATCAGAGGTCCTCTCTCACTTCCCATCAAATAATTCATACAAGGGAGAAACCCCATCCGTGTGTGGAATGTGGAAAGAGCTTCAGTTCGGGCTGCAATCTCACTTCCCATCAGAGAATTCATACAAAGGTTGGGAAATCCTCCATTCTATAGCTTTAGGAGCCAGGCAAATACCTACCTGTTTAGGGAAGTTTTTAATGTCTGATGTTTTAATGTATTTTTAGTTGTTTGTTGGAAGCCGCCCAGAGTGGCTAGGGAAACCCAGCCAGATCAGCAGGGTATAAATAATAAAGCAACATCTTTGCTTAGGTGTTTTACAACCTGCCCATTGTCTCTGTCATTTGCTGTGGCAATAATCAATCACCAACAAAAACAAGAACATATGAAAATTGTCCATTACAAAAAACTTCCTGGCGTGGTGCGCTCAGCGCCGGGTCAGGGAAAGCGCTTTGCTGCAGTAAGAGCGCTCCCAATCACGGATACGGGATAAAAAGACGGGGGAGCGAGGGCGACGCAAACCCTGAAGAGGTCTGAGAGGAGGTTCCAGACTGAAGAAAATCGATCCAAGCAGCGCATAAAGGGGTTTTCTGCCGTCCCAGCACAAAAAGTGGAGGGAGGTGGAAGAACCCCAGCGCAGAAAGATCGCACACCCGATCGTGAGATGCCCCTGAGACCCGAATGAGAAAGCACCAGGCTGCTCCAAACTAAAACTGTAAAATCATGAGTACTCCTGAAGGAACAAGGTAATAATGCTGGCTTAAATTAAAATAAAAGGAGTACGGAATAACTTAATATTATAAAGGACAGTAAAGCTAATAGAGAGAGGAGCTTCAGCGTTCTGAGACTTATCAAGTTGTTGAAAATAAGCCTTGTAAAGAGGCAGAAAATAAAAACTGAGACATACTGAGTACCTGCTTCTACAGGGGGACGCTCTGTTGAGAGAGACAAGGAGCTGAAATAGCAAGCAGCAGCAGCGGTGACAACAAAGCAGCAGCCACTGAGGAGGAGATCAGCGTAAAACAAAGGGGTGAGTGAAAAAGGTAAAGGAGGGGGAGGAACGTGGAGGATACAGTGGAAAAGAGAAGGAGTAGGAAAGATTTGAAGACCAGGCAGCGGTGGGAAGATAAAGATTAAGATAAAGAAGTGAAAGGGAAGAGGAAGAGATATACAAAGGGAGAGAAAGGAGGAGGAAAAGACTGGAATAGGGAAGAAAGCAGCTGGCAAAAATGGCGCTGGGGGGGGAAGAGTGAGTCATCGCCCTCAGAAGGGAAAAAAGCCAGAAGAAGATAGTGGCTGAAACAGTCACTGCAACAGAGAGGCTAGAGAAACAAAACAAGAAGGACCACCTCACAAGTAAATTGGAAAATCCCATATTACTCCCATAATTTAAAAAACGCTGCTAAGACACAGGCTTGAAGCACAACCATAAAGAAAACTAGCTATACACGAAAGGACATCTGAAATACCAAGTTCAGCTTCTAGAAAATAAGTTCTTAAGACGGATGTTAAGTACTGCGAAGGAATTTTTCTCTGATAATTGCCAAAGTAATTAAAGTAAAACAAAATATTTAACAAATTTCTTATTAAAATTTGGACCTTTTTTTTTTACTTTTTTGTTTAATTAAATATTTGAGATGAACTGATAATGACATAGGGTAAAACCACCGGAATCTTAACTGACTTTCAATCCCAACAGATGGAATAAAAGGACCAAATTATAGACTATAAACAGAGCATTTTCAAAGTTTAGGAATATATATATTCTTGGTTTGAAATAAAGATATCTAGATCAGAACCAAAAGGAAGAAGAGAAATATGGGTTCTAAAAAATACCAAACTACACTGACATCTGGGTCAGGTCTACAAGTGAGAAGACAATCAACAGCTGAAACAGACCCCAATGCTGACATGAAAGACCTTATAATGGGGATGGAAAAGAGCCTGAATGATTAGCTGGCAACATCCAACAAAACTCAAAGCTAATAATAGACTTAACAACGCAAATAAGTGACCTCTCACTTAAAAATAAAGAACTGGATGAATCTGTACAAGAACTTAAGAGTAAATCTACCAAACAAGAGGAAATGACGAAGAAATTGCAAATGGAAAATAAGGACTTTAAAAAATCACAAGATTCAACGAAGGAAGAAATAAACGACCTAAAGAGAGCCCATGAAGAGCTGCTAGATGATATATCATTGATGGAGATGAGTCAGAAGGAGATGGTCCTCCACTTCCGAGGCGTCCCACAAACTCATGATGAACAAATTCAAGAGAAACTATCACAGGAGATTGCAAACTGGTTGGGAGTAGAGGTAGAAGAGATGCTATTGGATATTGATAAAATTTTCAGGATCAGATCAGAAAGATCGGACACTTATAAAGGGCCAGGAGATTGCTTAATTTTTTTCAACTCAAGACTTTTAAAGGACAAAATATTACATCAAAAAGGACAAGTGAAGTTAATAATAGAAGATAGGCCTATCAAAATATTTAAGGAAATCCCAAAAAGAATTTTGAAGAAAAGGCAGAACTATAAGACAGTAACAGAAGCACTCAAGAAGAATTCGATTAGATTTCGGTGGGAATTTCCTGAGGGCATCACCTTCACATATAAGGACAGAAGAAAAACTTTTAGATCAGTAGACGAGCTGGGAAAATTCTGGAGGAAGTACAAAAAAGAACTAACTGGAGATCCAACATTGGAGCGAGAGGAAACAACGCAGACGCCACAAGAAGCATAGAGAGACAAGCGCATATTAAGGGGGGGGGGAGAGATTGGGAGAAACATATTATCAAAATCCTAAAATTTCTGAGTTTTCTTTTTCTTTTCTTTTCTTTTTTTTATTTATTCAAGGAAACCATTGTATATAATAAATAAAGATTAATGAATCTAAAAATTATATCTTGGAATGTTAATGGTTTAAATGATAAGAGGAAGAAAATAAAATAGAACACGTGTTGAGGAAAGAACAATGGGATATTATATGCTTGCAGGAGACCCATGTGACTAGAAATCACAAAAGGGTTTTAGAAAACAAGAGGTTGGGTCAAGAATTTATATCCTCAGATGTAAAAAAGAAAAGGGGAATTGTGTTCTATGTGAACCCTAAACTAGATGCAAAAAAAAATCTTTAAGGATGGTGAGGGTAGATTATTAGGGGTAAAAATAACAAAAGGTAAAGAACATTTAATTATAGTAGGAGTTTATGCACCGAATGGTAACAAAACAGAATTTTTCAGAAAAGTAGAAGCTAACTGTAATGGTTCTAGGGGTTGCTCGTGTATAAGCCGGTGCAAACACCTGGCTGGATTGCCTGAGTGAACCTTTTCTGTCCGGACAGCCACTCACCCGTGGCTGTCTCAATCGCTGGCAGAATCCATCAGTGGGCGTTTCTTAAACTTCCAGCAAAGAAGCTCTTTGACGCCTAGTCTCCGCCTACTCTCTCTGCGCAGAAGCCTTCTGTGCAAGGAGGGCGTAGGCAGCGGAGGACCTCTACTCTACCACAGTTCAAGAATGACACTGACAAACTGGAACGTGTCCAGAGGAGGGCAACCAAAATGGTCAAAGGCCTGGAAAGGATGCCTTATGAGGAACGGCTAAGGGAGCTGGGCATGTTTAGCCTGGAGAAGAGGAGGTTAAGGGGTGATATGATAGCCATGTTCAAAGATATAAAAGGATGTCACATAGAGGAGGGAGAAAGGTTGTTTTCTGCTGCTCCAGAGAAGCGGACACGGAGCAATGGATCCAAACTACAAGAAAGAAGATTCCACCTAAACATTAGGAAGAACTTCCTGACAGTAAGAGCTGTTCGACAGTGGAATTTGCTGCCAAGGAGTGTGGTGGAGTCTCCTTCTTTGGAGGTCTTTAAGCAGAGGCTTGACAACCATATGTCAGGTGTGCTCTGATGGTGTTTCCTGCTTGGCAGGGGGTTGGACTCGATGGCCCTTGTGGTCTCTTCCAACTCTATGATTCTATGATTCAGCCTCTGTTGAAGATGTGTCCACGATTCCTTGCTTTTTGGACTTCCAACCTTTCAAGGAATCCACAAATTGAAACCCCATGCCAGAAATGGATTTTCTATCAGGCAGGTTGGCCCAATCACTGTCAACATAACACTGCAATTTTGTAGACCCTGAAGATGGTAATCTTAAACAATAATCAAGTGTATGTTTCAAATACCAGAAAATACGTTTTAAACCCTTCCAGGCATTTTCTGTGGGGCAGCTTATGAGTCTGCTCAGTATTCCAACTGCATAACTCAAATCTGGTCTGCTCCACAATGAAATGTATAATAAACTTCCAACTACTGAATGGTACATTTCAGGATTTACAGGTTCTGTGCATTCTTCTTCATCCTTGCAAAAACCTATTTCCATTGGGGTTTTTACTCCCTTGCTATTTTGCATATTGTTTCATTCAAGTAATTCCATTATTTTATCTTTTTGACTCAACAAAAAACTTCCATCGTTTGTCCTTTGAATTTCTAGACCGAGATAATTTTTTACTGGTCCCAAATCTCTTACTTTAAATTCTTTTCTTAGTTGTTCTGCAAATTTTTCCACTTGCTTGTCATTTTTTGTAGAATAAAGCAAATCATAAACATTAACAATTCTTGTTTATCACCCTTTCCTTTAGTGTACAAGCAATTATCAGCTAACCTTCTTTTAAAGCCAATATTTTTTAAAGTATTATCTAGACACTTGTTCCAATTTCTAACTGATTGTGTGTGTTGAATGGTCACTTTAAAATGTGAAGGTTCATTATTATATCACAAGTTGGGTATGTCTTTAAGGGCCAGGGCAAATAACGAGACCCAGTCTTGCAGCTGTGAAACATAGCAGGTGCTGCTAGGTTGTGTTAATTAAGCTGTGTCAGCATTTGGGCATAGTATATAAGGAGCAGCACCTAGCTCTCCCATTACCCTGGGGGATGGGTTGGTGGTTGGGACTGGTTTGTTGTTGATGTATTTAGTGTATAAGGAGTTTTTGTTTTTCTTATTAAAACCTTGTTTAAGTTATTTTTGAGTCCCTTTTTAATGCATGGTCTCCCCAGCAAGCTCTCTGCAGCACTACTAAACTGCAAATAGCCAACAGTTTGAGCCCATAGATTGCTTTGTGTAACCCATATACAGAATTCTGTTCGCCTGCCTCAAATCCTGGTGCTTGATTCATAAAAATTTCTTTGTGCAGATTTGCGTTAAGATAAGCTGTTTCAATATCAAAATGATTTACCTTAAACCCATGTTGTGCTGCAATTGCTAGCAATAAACATACATTTTCGCTCCTTACAGTAGGAGAAAAGGTTTCATCAAAACTTTTACCTTTTCTTTGCGTAAAGCCTCGTGCTACCAGCCTAGCTTTGTACTTAACACTACCATCTGCCAAGTGTTTTATTTTATACACCCATCTACAGTCCACTGCCTTTTTTCCTTCTGGCAATGGCTCAATAGTAAACATATTATGTTCTGCCAAAGATTACATTTCTGCTCTCACTGCATTTTTCCACATTATAATTTCCTGGTGTGGTAACTTTAAAACCTCCTCATAATCACTAGGTTATTTCTTCACATCAACAGTTTTAACTTCTTGTATAGTAAACCTTTCTGGAGGTACCCCCTTATTGTTTCTTTGTGATCTAACTTGAACACTTTCCCCCTCTGAACTATCTTCCCCTTCTGATTCATCTTGCTCAGGAGAAATTGGTTCAGCTTTAGGAGATTGTGTATTGGGACCCTCATCCCCTGAGTCCTCATCACTATTACTTTCAGAACTTTCTTGAATTTGTGACTTTTCTTCCTCAGATTTCACAAATTTATCTGTATCATCAGAAGATAAAACAACTTCTGAATTTCCATGTAAACGAGCCCAACCATCTTGCTCACAAAACTCTGCATGTCTTGGTATCACAACTCTGCCACGCCCTAGTGCAAAACGATACCCCTTTGACCAACTTTGATAACCAACAAACCTAAGTCTCTTTGCCTTGGGATCTCCTTTCCTTCTCTGTCCCTTTGGGATGTGAACCCAAGCCCAACAATCAAAAGTTTTAACGTGGTCCAAAAAAGGTTTTTTCCCCATAAAGCAAAAAACGAGGGGTATTGTTTATGGTAGAATGAAACAATCTGTTCTGTATGTAATTAGCACAGAGAATTGCTTCCCCCCAAAATTTCCTGGATAAGCCAGAATCACATAACATAGACTCTAGCATTGTTTGTAAAGACATTATCTTGCGTTCTGCAATCGAATTTTCTTCGGGTGAAAAAGAACATGATTTATGGCGACTAATACTACGTTTTTTTCAACCATATCTGGAGGGCTTCAGACATGAACTCGCCTCCATGGTCACTCTGCAATTGGGTAACTTTGTAGGGAAACTGCCTTTCTGTACAGTTGACCCAATTTTCAATCAGTTGACCAGTTTCACTTTTGTGTTTTAACAAGTATACCCAAGTATACCGGCTATAATCATCCACAAGAACCAGGAAAAACTTTGCTCCTCCTTCAGATTCTGCAAATGGCCCACAAAGGTCTGAGTGTACTAAAGCAAATGGATTCTTGCTAATTCTATTACTTTCAGGATAAGATCCCTGCTTACTTTTAGACTCCTTGCAGGTATTGCAGTCCAGAAAAACTGAACACTTTTTCATTTTAATTCCCTTACTTAATTCTGGCATTTTTGCAATGCTACGGAAATTGGCATGCCCCAAACGACGGATGCCACAAATACTGGCACTCATCATGCAAGGCTCTATTACAGGCATTAACACATGCCCCAGACTCACTTATTAGCTGGTCTTTTAAAACAAATAAACCATTTTTTAGGGATGCTGTAACCACTTTTCCAGCTTTCTCTATTTTACAGCCTGAACCAGAGAAGGTTACCTTAAACCCCTGCTTAACAAGACTTGCAGCTGAAAGCAAATTATTTTCTAAACTTGGTACACATAATACATTGGTAAATTTGGTGCTTAAACAGTTAAGATTCATATTACCCTTTCCAGCTGACTCATGCACTGTTCCATCAGCTAGTACTACATTTACAGATTTACAAGGTTGTTTTTCTAAGGGCTTGTGCAGACTTTACAAAAATGTTTGTCACTGCTGAGTCTAAAATCCAGTCCTGTCCAACGTCATGACTGGTACCTCGAACTGCTGCAGAAACATACTGGACTTGACTCTTCCTGTCTCCTCGCTTCCCAGCAAACGCAGGCCACCCTTTTCTTGTGTTTTCTCCAACAGACATAGTGCACTGTCGTACTAAATGCTTGGTTGACCATTTTTGCCTAGGGAATTCCAGGAGGTGGGGGAATCATTTGTCCTATTCCAATAATCTGCGTGCATAGGTTTCATGTTATTTGGAGATAGTAACACCCATTAATTTCATGTAATCTAGGTGTTTATTCAGGTGAGGATGAATATAGCACTATAGAAAAACCCTTCATGACTGTGTCTGCAATGTTTCCAATATGACTGCACTTACCCATTAAAGTGTGTCATTAAATGCTGAGAAATCGTACCATACTCAGCTTACGGATCTCATCCCCAAGAAACCCTACACAGAGTAGCTGCTTTTCCCCAATTTCTTAGCGAGAAATAGCTGATATTGAGAAGGAAGAGAGAGAGACCCTATCCATCAAACTTTGGGGATTTAGTAGGCATCCTTTCGGCGATGCTGCCCTGCTTCAGTTTGCCTCTGTCGGCCCCTGATGCCCCTTCCCTGTGGCCCCTGAATGGCTCTCTCCTCATCCGTCTGTCTCGGGAGACAATGGAGGACGGCTCAAGAGGTGGGGATAGATAGATAGATAGATAGATAGATAGATAGATAGATAGATAGTTTATTACGGCCATAGGCCCATATTCAATACATCATACAGCAACACAGGTATAACAAGATAAAATTGATAAGAAGAAGAGAAGAAGAGTTTGGATTTGATATCCCGCCTTTCACTCCCTTTAAGGAGTCTCAAAGCGGCTAACATTCTCCTTTCCCTTCCTCCCCCACAACAAACACCCTGTGAGGTGAGTGGGGCTGAGAGACTTCAGAGAAGTGTGACTAGCCCAAGGTCACCCAGCAGCTGCATGTGGAGGAGCGGAGACGCGAACCCGGTTCCCCAGATTACGAGACTACTGCTCTTAACCACTACACCACACTGGCTCTCCGATAAATTAAATTACGTTTAAATCAGGTACATCTCAGACCGTAAGTTTCTAAATTCCATTAAAATAAGAACAATATAGCACTTAAAATATCAAATTATCAGTATAAATCAATATTATTTAGGCAAAATCAATAATCATAGAGTAATCCATTTTTCTTTTTATAAGCTAATACTGTTATCAGAAATCTGGCAACAGAAAGGGACCTACTCGGATCAGAATCTTGCAATAAATGAATTAGCTGTATTTCCAAGGAGTCACCTGAGATTTCCAATAATAAAGGGGACAAAAATCTGGTCTGAGAAACTGAATGTAGTGAACAACAGAATAGTATATGTTGTAAAGATTCTATAGATCTATTATCGCATACGCACACCGCTGAGATCCGACCATTGGAAAATCTATTTTTCAGGACATTGGAAGGAAAGGCATTAAATCTTGCCTTAATAAAGGCATATCTGTGGGCCGCTACAGACAAAGAGGTCAAATAAGATGGTATCTGCTGTGAGGGCACTATGCCAAAGTTTAATGGTGAGCAAGTGCCACTACCCGAAATGGTGTTTTGTTGTAGGTCAATCTCCTCAAGTTTTTGAGTGAGGATTTTTTTTGCTGTGGTTAGGTCCAATTCCAATAATTCTGATGGAGACAATCCATAGGTCACTACTTTAGAATGGATCTCTTTTGCCCCTAGGACAGGAAAATTATCTCTCCGGAGGCATTGGATCAAATACAGATTCGGGAGCCTATGCCTTAAGGACAACCAGTAACAAAGGCTGCACCTCCAAAGAGTATTTTCTAAAGATGTAGTTTTTAATTCTAAATGAATAGCTGCGTTGCTAACACACTGAGGAAGTTTTAGCAGTCGTCTTAGAAATTGATTTTGAATTACCTCCAAGGGCATCAAGTTTACTGTGGTCCCCCATAAAGGAACAGCATATGCCAATTACTTTAGCTTTGAATACTTTCAGGGCAGATGGAACATGAAGAGCCCCGTCCGAAAAGAAAAAGCGCAAAAGCGCAAAGGATAGGGCCTTGGCCTTGTTTAAAATATGTGCAATATGAGCCTTCCAACCCAGATTATAATGGAGAAAGACTCCCAGGTATTGAAATTTATAGACCTGTTCAATAGGTTTTCCATCTAATTGCCACTTATAGGATTTCCGACTTTTTGAGAAGATTAGTACTTTTGATTTAGATTGATTTATAGTGAGGGAATTTGTTTTACAATATGAAACAAAGAATTTTAATGCTCTCCTGAGGCCAATTCTTGAGAAGGATAAAATCACAGCATCATCAGCATAGAGTAATAGTGGGCAACGATAGTTTGCGAGGCGGGGGGCATGGGTGATTTCCTGCGATTCAGCCAATGGTATCCTCATGTCACTAATGAATAAATTGAAAAGAAAAGGAGCTAGGATACATCCTTGCCGGACTCCTCTGTTGATGGGCACAGAGTTTGTGAGATCGCCGGCTGGGGTTATTCTCACCCTAGCAGCCGACCCCTCATGCAGCTGGATTATTAACCATAAAAGTCTTCTATCAGTTCCCCATCGGGTCAACTTTTCCCAGAGCAACCTTCTGGGGATGCTGTCAAATGCAGCCTTAAGGTCGATAAAAGCCGCACATAGTTGGCCCCGGTTTGAAGAGGAGTATTTCCGGGCTAGATGGTGCAAGACTAAAACATGGTCCGTAGTTGACTGGTTCGGTCTGAATCCTGCTTGCTCGGGGCCTATCAGTTTCTTTTCTTCAGCCCATTGGGTAAGTCTATTCAGCAGAAAACGTGCGTATATCTTTCCAACTATTGACAGTAAACTAATATTCCTATAATTCTCCGGATCGTCTGGGGAGCCTTTTTATATATTGGAATTATAATAGCGTCCTTCCATATTTTTGGCACCCTTCCAGTTGTATTAATGGCATCGAAAGTAACAGCCAGGATTTTTGCCCACCAGTCGGAATGTAGTTTTATGGCTTCCGCCGGAACCAAGTCTGGCCCAGGGGCTTTGCCGATTTTAAGTTTAGAGATTAAATTCAAGATTTCATCAGGGTCAGTAGGAGGCCAGATAGGGAGATGGTCAAATACATCATCAAGAGCGTTGGTATTGGGATCTGGTGACGCAAAATATTTCCTTAAAAAGGATTCCCAGACCGGGGCAGGAATTATTGTTAAGGGATAGCTCCTTGATCTTCTATTAACCAGTTGCCAAAATTGCCGTGAGCTACATGAACTAGAGGCGACGATTAGCGCCTGCCAGCGATTATGTTGCCACTCTTGCTTAGCTATTCTCTGGGCTTGCTTATATGCTGTTTTTGCTTGCTGGTAATTCCTAGGTAATACTAAGGCACCAGAAGATTTATATTCATTATAAATGGCACAGAGATGTCGTCTAGCTTGTTTGCATTTTAAATTAAACCAGGGGGCACCGGTCTTAAAATGGGCCCGATTTACTTGGATGGCTGGTACTGCAAAAAAGGACATAAGATCTTCTGTAAGCAAAGAGAATGAATTAATAATTCATTCATGCCCATACAGATCTAAATCTAAAACAGCATGAGTTTGAATTTTCTCTTGTTGGAAGAATTCCGTATATATATATATATTTATTTTTTTTATAAATGATTTTTATTAAAGTTTCAATAAAAAGTTAGACAAATAGACATAAAAAAGAAATACACAAATACACAATACATAATCCAAAAAAGGAAGGTAAACACACACAAAAAAACAAAAAGCAGAAAAAACAAAAAAAAGCAGAACAATTAAAAACAATATCACTGTTTCATTTCCGTTTTTAAATTTACTTATTTTCTGGACTTCCTCATACCTCCCTCTTTTGTATTCCAGTCCAAATTGTTTGTCCAGCAATTTCTTTTCCACTTTTTAATCCCAGTCTTTAATCTTAATATAATATAACATCAAAGTTTTACCTCTTTAGTACCAAATTTCCATTTCCTTAGACTTCTTTAATCCTAATCTTTAATCTCACTATAATATAACGTTAAAATTTTGCCTCTTAAGTACCAAATTTCCATTTCCTTAAACTTCTTTAATCCTAATCTTTAATCTTGATCTATCTATACCTTTATCCTATACAGCTGAAAACCACTTATTTTCAATCCAACATCACTCTAACATTCATTAATTTTGCAGTGTTTCTGTAGATAATCTTTGAATTTCTTCCAATCTTCCTCCACCGACTCTTCTCCCTGGTCACGGATTCTGCCAGTCATTTCCGCCAGTTCCATATAGTCCATCAGTTTCATCTGCCATTCCTCCAGCGTGGGAAGTTCTTGTGTCTTCCAGTACTTTGCGATGAGTATTCTTGCTGCTGTTGTTGCATACATAAAGAAAGTTCTATCCTTTTTTAACACCATTTGGCCCACTATGCCCAGGAGAAAGGCCTCTGGTTTCTTGGGGAAGGTATATTTGAATACCTTTTTTAGTTCATTATATATCATTTCCCAGAAAGCCTTAATCTTTGGGCACGTCCACCAAAGGTGAAAAAATGTACCTTCAGTTTCTTTACATTTCCAACATTTATTAGCAGGCAAATGATAGATTTTTGCAAGCTTGACTGGGGTTATGTACCACCTGTATATCATTTTCATAATATTATCTCTTAAGGCATTACATGCCGTAAATTTCATACCTGTGGTCCACAACTGTTCCCAGCCAGCAAACATAATGTTATGTCCAACGTCCTGTGCCCATTTAATCATAGCCGATTTTACCATTTCATCCTGAGTATTCCATTTCAGCAGCAAGTTATACATTCTTGACAAATTCTTAGTTTTTGGTTCTAACAGTTCAGTTTCTAATTTTGATCTTTCCACCTGGAAGCCAATTTTCTTGTCCAATTTAAATGCCTCCATTATCTGAAAATAATGAAGCCAGTCTCGCACTTTATTTTTTAATTTTTCAAAACTCTGCAATTTCAGTCTATCTCCGTCTTGTTCCAAAATTTCCCAATATTTCGGCCATTTGACCTCCATATTGACCTTTTTCAAGGCTTTCGCTTCCATTGGTGACAGCCACCTTGGGGTTTTGTTTCCTAGCAATTCCTTATATCTTATCCAAACATTAAACAGTGCTTTCCTGACAATGTGGTTTTTAAATGCTTTATGTGCTTTGACCTTATCATACCACAGATATGCATGCCATCCAAATACATTGTTAAAACCTTCCAAGTCCAAAATGTCAGTGTTTTCAAGAAGTAGCCATTCTTTCAACCAGCACAAAGCTGCTGATTCATAGTAAAGTTTGAGGTCTGGCAGGGCAAATCCACCTCTTTCCTTTGCATCCGTTAGTATTTTAAATTTTATTCTGGGCTTCTTGCCCTGCCAGACAAATTTAGAAATATCTTTCTGCCACCTCTTGAAACAATCCATTTTGTCCACAATTTGCAAAGTTTGAAACAAAAACAGCATTCTAGGCAATACATTCATTTTTATCGCAGCAATACGGCCCAGCAGTGAAAGCTTCAAATTTGACCAAATTTCTAAATCTTTTTTCACTTCAGACCAACATTTTTCATAGTTATCTTTAAATAAGTTCCCATTTTTGCTGTCATGTTAATCCCCAGGTATTTAACTTTCTTAACCACTGTTAAACCTGTCTCATTCTGAAACCTCTCTCTTTCAATCGGTGTTAAATTTTTCTCTAAAACCTTGGTTTTGACTTGTTCAATTTAAATCCTGCCACTTGACCAAATTCTTGAATCAGTTCTAAAACCCTTTTAGTACTAGATTCTGGCTCCTGTAACGTCAATACTAAGTCATCTGCGAATGCTCTCATAATTCCGTATATTTTTGGGCTTGAGTTACTGACCATTTTATTCCTCTCACTTGTTCTGCAGTATTTATTCCCATATTTATGGGGTGTCTAGGCTTGATAGACTGCCAGTCTAGGAAAAGCTTGGCACTCAAGGGGAGATGGTCGCTCATTTGGACGTTTTCTATTTTAAAGTAAGAAAAATTTGGGAATAGATCTCTCAAAACAATAAAATAATCGAGAACACTATTTGTAAGTGTGCTCAAATGAGTAAACTCACCCTGAATATCCGGGGGACAATTTCCATTTAAAATTATCAAATTCAAACGTAAAATCAGCTGATAAAGAAGGGTTCCCGCTTCATTAACCCTATTATCTTTCGATTTTCTCTGTATATGGGGGGAGAAATCCAAGTTCTGGTATCAGGTATGACCCACCATTTGGCCTTGCCTAGCGCTTCCCAGTTTGCAGCTGTACGAGCATTAAAATCACCTCCCATGACTGCTGAGATATTTGGGAACTTAGTATAACAGAAAGTTAGGTGTTCTTCAAGTGTTTCCCATTTGGAATGGAGGTCCACTACCTGCCCCCAAGGGGGGAAATAAACATTTGTTATCAGTAATTCAAATTTCCCTCCTGAAATCAGTCCTGTAATCGCGTACGGAGAGGAAGATTTAACAAGTGTAAGTTTTGCTTGCAATTTGAGGGAAATGGCTATTACCAAACCTCCCCTAGGGCGTCCACCTTTAAGAGAGGGGCTAACTGGAAGCAAAATGGTATCGTATCCATTTATGTCAATCGCCTCCTCTTCCCAAGTTTCTTGTAGGAGAATTACTTGAAATAGATTAACAAATTTTAAGAAGTCTGGATCAGATTTCTTCCCCCTCCATCCCGCAATATTCCAGCATAAAAATGACATTGAGGAGTGGTTGGGTTGGTCGTTAGGTAGTCAGGTCATGTGGGAATGGGATTCTAACTTTAGGGGAGCTTCAGCTTCAAAAAAATCAGTAATTTTCCTTTGAGAAGGTGGCAATTGTGCTATACATCCCAACTGTTTGAATTTATTGGGGTGGTTTGGCTGTAAAGTCGTGCCGCTCATCTCGCTAAAGGCAGATGTTTGGCCTAAGATAGTCGACTTTTCAGAGCCAGATGGTAGAATTAGGGGGGAATTACTTAGAGAGAGCGAAATTAAATCAGCAGGTATCGTGCCACTAGTTGAGTGATCATTAGTTGTTTGGATAATTTTGTTAATACGACCTGTCGCAAGCGGTGGGGAGATTGCAAGGCCTGCTGGGGCAGCTGGCTGCTGTGACGGACAGCAGAGCCAGAGCAGAGTCTGGGGTGCAGTGCCTCACCATTCCACCAGAGGGCCAGAGCCTCTTTCTGATTGGCTACCCAGAGGGGGGTGGCGCCAGCACTTTTGGAGGGAAAATAAAGAGCCGTTTCTGAGGGGATTTTTAGAAAGGGCTGGGTTTGAGATGGGAGAGAGGGCTGATCGAGAGAAGATGGGGACGAGGAGAGGGTGGAGGGAGGGAGGGAGAAGTGGCTCTGATCTGAGTGGATCATCTGCTCTGAGGAGAATATCTATGGAGCCAGAGGAAGGAGCCTCACAGCTGAGAAGGGGAGACCATGTTGAGGGTCTGGAGAGAGTATTCAGATGGGAGTGAAGCTGGAGGGAGAAGCTGTGGGAAGACTCTCCTCTTCTTCTGGGGTCTCCTTCCAGTCAGGAGGAGAGAGATCTTCTAGGAAAAGGAGATTCCCGAGTCCGTGGCAAGGGCTGAGAGGATCCCCTGGGTCTGGCATACAAAGGAAAATACCTCAGGAGTGGGATTGCTAAGAGAGAGGGGAAGCGAGGAAAAGTGGCCCCTCGCTGTGAAGGAAGCTGGGCTGTGTCAAAAGTACCTCACGGAAAGACCTCTCATAACTAAGTGAGGGGATGAGAGAGAAGCCGCAGAAAGAGAGTTCAGCCTTTCACCACCTATTCTGGAAACCTGAACATCTCCCTGAAGTGCGACAACTGATTTTGAGAGGAGGGAGTTGAAGAGAAGCTGTGCCTGCAGAACCGTGTTTAATCCTGAGACATTTAGCTGAAGTAGTAAGTTAACTTCTACCTGAAAGAACACATCTCCTGTCTTCACTTTGTTTCACCATTCTCTTTTTTGTAAATACAACTTTCCTTGTCTCATTATCTCCTGCCAGAGACTCCCTGGATTGCAGTTTCCCTCACACAAGTCGCCCCACAAAGTAGCCTGTGGGAAATCGTAGACATTTGTTCAATCTTCATCATCGTCATTTTATTTTATTTGTAACCTTTCCATCGTTAAAACAACGCTCAAGGCAGCTTACAACATGATAGGCAAAGGGCCTTCTCGGTCGTGGCGCCTCTTCTGTGGAATGCCCTCCCATCGGATATCAAAGAAATAAACAACTATCTGACGTTTAGAAGACTCCTGAAGGCAGCCCTGTTTAGGGAAGTTTTTAATGAAAGCACAAGCGGAACACTCCTGCAACACAGCTTCACTCCCTTAGTTCATTTAAAACGCCGAGTCAAATCGGAAAAAGTTCAGAAGATTAATTGAATTGTTTAGAGTTACGAGTCCTTGAAATAGGGTGGGCGACGGCTGTTAAGCTGTTCGACTTTGTTAGTTCTAATTTACAGCGCCGATATCACAAGTTCTCTGATATAAAACCCCAGGTTGCCAAACTTTGATGAGAAGAGGGTTAAAAGATTAAAAAGTTAAAAAAGTTAAAAGGAGTAGGAGCCCCCAACACCTAATTGAGGAGCTCTAACAGGAGCGTCTTACCTTGACACCATCTTGCATATCTCCACCCAGAAACCCAGCCAGATGGGCGGGGCATAAATAATAAATTATTGTTGTTATTGTTATGACAAGATTTACATAATTACCAACATTACCAATGTAATAAACAAGAAGTAAAACACATCCAAAGGTACACAACCAAATGGAAAAGAATTTCCACATAAATCATAAGACCTAAAATTCAGAATACAACATTAATAGCAATAACAATTGAAAATGACACAGATAAAAACCCAAAACCATTTGAAGAAGGAGGCCTATCTGCCCAGCAGTAGCAACATTATTATTATTATTATTATTATTATTATTTATACATACCCCGCGCATCTGGCTGGTTTTTCCCAAGCCACTCTGGGCAGCTTCCAACAAAATATTAAAATACAATAGTCCATCAAATATCAAAAGCTTCCCTAAGCATAACAACCATCCATTTTTAGTCCATTGAGTTAGAAATTCAGCATTTCTGGAAGGGGAAATGGCATACTATTGAATGTTTGCATAGCAACATGCTTAAGAAAGTTTTGGTTATTCATGATGAGAATAGGATTTATTTATGTTGAACTTCGCTTGGTTCCTCCTTGGCAGCCAGTGTGATTCTTTCAGCAGGGCTAGAACTCAGGACCGGCTGCCTTGAGGGGCATCTAAGAGCAGTTTGGCAGGGAAAGGTCTCCCTGGGGAGGTGGTGGACTCTCCTTCCTTGGAGGTTTCTAAGCAGAGATCGGACGGCCATCTGCCATGGATGCTTTAGCTGAGATCCCTGGGGGTTGGACTAGATGACCCTGGGATCCCCTCCCATCTCTCCACTCCTGAATTCTAGGAGGAGCTTCCTTGCCTCCTGCAAAGCCCTTTTCCCTGCAAGCTCTTCCTCTGGTTTCCGACCAACGGAGGGAGATGCTCAGAGCTCAGCCAAGAGCCAATATCCCCCCCCCCCCAATAGGCGGAGCCAGAGGGAAGCTGCCCCCTTAGAGCCATTCAAAAGAACAGAAATTAATAGAAATCAGAGCTCTGCCCTGCCTAAGCGAGTGCGCAGTGCGGGGGGGGGGGCTGAGCTGGGGGGACTCGGCACTGCAAGGGTTAAGGGAACCGAGCTGCCTTCCTAGAGAGGCCAGGATGAGGTTTCCGGCTTCCCAGGCAGCAAGGCTCTTCTTCTTCCTTAGTCTTCCCTCCTCTTCGTCACGCCAGGCCTCCTCTCTTTGCCAGGGAGGCTTCTCTTCTCAGAGCCCAATTCTGGGATGGCGAGAGCGAGAGAGGGCTGAGCTGGGCGGACTGGCCTTGCAAGGGTTAAAGGGATCCGAGCTCCCTTCCTAGAGAGGACGGGAAGCAAGGGGGGCCAAGTCCTCCAGAGCCAAGGCCCCTCCCTCCCAGTCCTTTCCTGCCTCGCTGTCCCTCCTGGGATCTGGTGAGTCTCCTCTCTCTCTGGGATCTGGTGAGTCTCCTCTCTCTCTGGGATCTGGTGGGGGTCCCAGGGCTGCAGCAGGGGAGGGGGCTGGGGGGACCCCAAGTCAGGGAGGAGAGGGTCCTGCCAGGGAGGGGCCAGGTCTGCCACGCTCTCCTTCCTGCAGAGCAGAGGATCCCAAACTCATTTGACCTTCGGCCCCCCCCCCCCTTTCAGAAAAGATCTCCCTTCTGTAAACAAAAGAATCCCTGGGACTTCAACTCTCTGTGACGTCTCTCAGCGTCACTGCACAAAAGAGGAAACATCTGCAAATGGTTTTTGAAAGCTGGACAAGGAGGTGGACTAGACACCCCACACCCCCCAAAAAAATTTCAAAGGAGATGTATTTGGCCCCACCCACTTGGCCCTCAAGAGGTTGACCAGATACATTCCTGGCCCTCAGAGCAAAGAAAAAGGGACCCCACCCCAGGAGTCTGTCTTGAGAGCGGCAGAGAGTCCAAGTGCAAGAAAAGAAGATAGAATTTGGGCAACTAGCTGGTTTTAAACTTAATAAGGCCAAGATGAAAAGGTTAACTAAAAATACAGTTTAAGATATGGTGGAAGAATTGCAACGCAAGTCTTTGGGAATATGGTTAACAGCAAAGAGTATGAATTTAGCTGGCCCTCAGAGCAAAGAAAAAGAGACCCCACCCCAGGAGTCTGTCATGAGAGCGGCAGAGTCCAAGTGCAAGAAAAGGAGACAGAAGCAGGGGAGAAATGTGCCCTAAAGTGGGGGTAAGGGGAGAGCATCTCCCGAGGACCCCCAGATGAGGACCCCCACTAGAGCCAAGCATCCATTTTTCACAAGATACAAATTACTCACTTGTCAGTCAGTTCTGACTTCATGCATTTACTTTAGGGAAGCTTTCATTGTTTGATGAATTACTGTATTTTAATATTTTGTTGGAAGCCTCTCAGAGTGGCTGGGGAAGCCCAGCCAGATGGGTGGGGTATAAATAAATTATTATTATTATTATTATTATTATTATTATTTACTGGAAGGCAGGAGCAACCAGGCTGATTCACATCACATAAATCCCTTCTGTTGCCTCCACATTTTGCATTGCAATCTTCCCTCTAGAAGGGCTAGCGTATGGTTACCAGATATTTTTCAATGAATCCGGGGACACTTTTTTTTTTGGAAGCTGAGTAGCAACAGGGAGTCAGTAGTGGGGATGGTGAGGCAAAAGACCCTGGCTCCCTCTCCTTCTGCCAGAAGCCCCCCTCCCTGCTTGTCTCTCAGAGCCCGGAGACGTCTGACAATGGAGGAGCAAAGGCAGGCTGCACTGTTGGATCGCTTGAACCCCAGAGCGGAGGGGACTTGGAAAGCTGTGGGGAGCCAGGGGCCTTCACTCTCAGCAACTGATTTCATGGAGGAAGAGGCTCAGGGAATTCTGCTCAATATTGACCCAGAGCAGAACTCCAATGTATAGTTAGCAGAGTAAAATCTAAACACGTTATAGGATTCCCAAAAATAGACCAGAGGCAATTGTATTTCATCCAGCAGAGCTTTACTGCTACTGAAGGAAAATGAGCATAATGGTCCCAAATCCAAAATGTACAAGATTGGCCCTGTCCATAAGAAATCCAGTTGCAGCAGACTTAACCTAAACTCACCTAAATTTACCAAAACTTATTATAAGTCTAAACCTTAACACTTAACCTTAACCTTAACACATACTATGTACAGAACACCAGAGGGAAGAGAGAGAGAGAGAGAAATTGAAACCCCGGCTCCTTCTGGCCTCTTCTTACAGTCAGCATGACCTTGACAGAAGAGAGAACAGAGCCACTTTAACCCAGCTGTACTCAGCTTCTCTGCAGGAATAACCGAAACATCAGGAACCTTCTGCTTGTTTCTTTTACGCAGAGAAGCTTCCGGAACCCTCTTGAACTAACTAGAATAGAAAAGATCAATATCAGATCCATGCTTTCTGCACTAAGAAATGCAAACTGACAGACCCTCCGGGAATGAGCTGCTCTTCTCATTCGGCCTGAAACTCAGCCAAGTCTGTGAATATTGTTGCTGATAGAGAGTTAACTCCAGCTGTGAAGTGTGGGATTTCCTGCCCAGATAACTCTGTGACACCAGCCTTCTGAATATCACCAGTAGGATTCATCTGTAGTTGCAGTTTTTTTTGGAATCCTAGAGTTGAAAGGGACCCCAGGGGTCATCAAGACCAACCCCCTGCATTGCAGGAGTCTCAGCTAGATCCTCCAAGACAGATGGCCATCCAAACTAGGCTTCTTGTATTTCTATATTCATCACTGAGTGCTAAAATAGGCTTCTAAGCAGTGGACAGACGAGAACAAATAGTGGCCAAGATTCACCTAGCCAGCCCTATCCGCTGCAAAATGGGGCCTGCCCCCACTCCTCCCCCTCTCCATGCCCCCACAAACCCCTTGAATTTGGCTCTAGGGCATTGGGAGGGAACCTCCCCAGAACAACTCACGAGGAGAGGAGAAAGTGGATCCTTCCATCAGGTAAACTGGAATGCTTGCGTAGGCAGAATAACTTGAAAACCACCAGGAGGAGTATCACCTATTTGCACAAAGATGAATGCCCATAATTAAAACATAGAATAAAAGAATTCCATTAAAGCGTTAAAATAAGCATCCATAATTAAAATGTGTAGCAAAGCAATCCTACTGAAACAACACAGCAATTAAGAGGAAGGAAAGAACAGAGCATTGTGTAGCAGATCATATTGATCCTGTTTCAGAGGAGGACATTTTCCCTTTTTCTTTTAGGGTCCAGTTTGCTTTGAAGACATCTCTGTTTGTTTCACTGAAGAGGAGTAGGCGTTGCTGGATCCTGACCAGAGAGCTCTGCACAAGGGCATCATGGAGGAGAATCGTGGGATCGTGGCCTCTCTTGGTAAGGCTCCCTGTGGGATCGTCCTATCTGCCTGGAAATTCAAAAAATACCTCTATGTGACAAACCTCATACATTTCCACAAAGCTCAGCAGCGCCCCCTCCAACACCTGGGAACCTAACACCCCCACAATAAACCTTGAACAGTAAATTACTGTTTTTTCTTATATATATCATTTTTAAAATTATTCTCCATTTAATATTGTACATTCACATCATCATTATCCACTATACCACCCTGGCTCTTTAGAGCCTCAACTTCCTTCCTTCCAGCCTCATGGCTTTCAAAATTAACATTTATATCGTTGCAATTTGTACATTTTCCAATTCTTATTACACTCATTACAGAATGGCTTAAAATTTAAATATAGAAAGGTAGAAAATTTCTCATTACAAGTCTTCAGACAACCCTGCTAGTGATGTTAATTGCTTACAATAATCTTTCAGATATCGTATAAATTTACTCCAACCCTTTTGGAATCCTTAATCGTGCTGGTTTTCCTGTCAGTGTCACCAGATATGCAAAGTCCATCATTTTCATCTGCCAATCTTCTAACAGAAATTCTCACCATGTCAATTAATACTTAGTTTGGGAACCTTTAGCTTTAATTCTGGCCTTACAACGCCTTCCCATGGAGTGAAGCAAGTTTTTTAGTTCTGCAGCTGTAATAATGTGAAACAAAGATGGAATTATTGCCTCTATTATTTGGGCTTTATTGCTGGGTTGCTTCTGACTAACAAGTTTCTTTAGTTGGCTCCATAGATTTTCAATTTGGTGAAGCTCTGGGCTATTCCCAGTCCATTCCAGCAGTGGAATTGATTATCTTGAAACCACCTTTTGCACACAGCAGCAACATGACATGGAGGTGAATCCTGCTGAAAGAGAAAACAAACAAACAGATAGAAAGGTTCAGTATCTGAGAAAAGATCACATGCAGAACGCTTCAGTTTGGGCTCAAGTATTTCATTTATGTATTTTAGAGCATTTACATTCCCTTTGATGACACAAATTCGTCCCACATCTTTTGCTCGCATATTTCATGCCATCACTGCCAAGCAAGGAGATTTTGGTCTCATCACTCCAAAGAACACTTTCCCATTGTTCCGCTGTCCAGTTACCATGGGTTTTAACCCAGTTTAATCTTTTCCACCTTTGCTTGAGAGATAATGGCTTTTCCCTTGGAATTCTAGCATTTAGACCAGTCCTTGCACTCAACTTCACATTACATTGCGCCATGTCATCTTGTAGACACCCAGATGATTTTCTTCTGTCACGTAGGCGCAGTCTCTCCATTTTCGATCGTCACTTGCTGTTGTGCACCTTTTCCTGCCTTTACCAGTCTGATTTTGTAGCAACTGAGTCTCCTTATACCTCTTCAAATATATAGAAAGGCCAGCTTTGGTTGTTTCCCCCAATCTTGTTTCTAATTTCTTCATAACTGTAGCCTTGCTCACTTAATAGTACTATTTTACATGGCTTTCTGGGTGACCAGTCAACTATTTGTGCCATTTTTAAAATTTTATTATGTTTGCAAACTCACTAAATGAAAGAACACCAAAAAACCAACCAACTTGATAGAAATCACATAACACACTGACAAAAGTCAACCTAGGCAAGTTGTGCTTGCTTTTTCTGGTTATTTGGCCATAACTTTTGATAGAATACTGTAGGGGCAGCAAGACGCAAACACGTACAGTCAATTAAAAGTTGGTTTTATTCCAGAAAAAAACATGCCTCTTGTCTGGAGCTCTCTGCCCCCATGACTTGTGGCTACCCTGATGATGACTCAACTAAATCTTCATCTTTGTTCCTCTTCCTCTGGAAACAACGCGTGAAGACGAATCTCTTCCGTCGCTTCTGTGATGTCAATTTCCCCTTTTCTTTTACCCCTCCTGTCCTGCATTCCTTCAGGCTGAGAGGCTTGGAAACTGGCTCAGACAAACTATTGTCTGATAACTCCTGTATTTATCTGGGCTGTGAACTCCCCCCTGTACTTTCCTCTGTTCTTCCCATAACAATCCTCCCTTTGTGGTGTAGTGGTTAAGAGCAGTAGACTCGTAATCTGGGGAACCGGGTTCACGTCTCTGCTCCTCTACCTGCAGCTGCTGGGTGACCTTGGGCCAGTCACACTTCTTTGAAGTCTCTCAGCCCCACTCACCTCACAGAGTGCTTGTTGTGGGGGAGGAAGGGAACGGAGAATCTTAGCCGCTTTGAGACTCCTTCGGGTAATGATAAAGCGGGATATCAAATCCAAACTCTTCTTCTTCTTCTTCTTCTTCTTCTTTTCCCTCTGGGCTCCCGTCCAAGTCTGGCAGCTGCTGCTGTTCGCTTGCTGGCTCCAGCCTTACATCATCCCCCCCAGGGCCCCCCTCCTGTTCCTCCTGCCTCTCCTCTTCCTCTCTTGGGGCGCTCTGGGCCACTTCCCACCATTCCTCCTCATTGTCCTCCCAATAACTGCACCCCGGTTGCTGCTCTTCTGCTTCTTCCTCCCACTCGGGCTCATTCTCCCCTTCTTCTTCCCATTTCAGCTCTTCCTCTACCCAACCTTGGGGTTTGGGTTTCCTGGGGTACCTACGGTGAAACTCGCTCTGCAACCTTGGCACATGTATGTTTCCTGTGCTCTCCCATGAATTCTCTTCTGGTCCATACCCCTTCCAAGACACAAAATACTGCACCCCTACCTCTCCTGCCAGAGTCTAGTAGCTTGTCCACCTCGTATTCAGGTTCACCCTCCACCAATATCGGCAAGGGTGGTGGTTCCTTCCTCTCCTGATACGGGTGTCTCAGCGTCAGTGGAGATAGAAGCAACCGATGGAACACCAGATGCATCTTCATTGACTCAGATAGGCGTAGCTTGAACGACACAGGGTTGATTTGTTCCACCACTTCAAAGGCCCCACCCTTTGCCGTTCCAGCTTACGGCGTTGTCCCTTGCTCGGCCAGTCTTTTGTGGACAACCATACTTGGTCCCCCACCCTTATCTCCTTGCCCACCTGCCTGTGTCTATCTGCTTCCGCCTTGTGCTGAGCCTTCGCCCTTTCCAGGTGGTCCCGCAAAATACTGTGCAGCGCTTCCATTTCTTCTGCATACTGTTCTGCTGCTGGCACTGCGAGGTTGTCTCCCTGCCCTGGAAACACCCATGGGTGTCTCCCTTGACAAGCAAAAAATGGCGTTTGTTGTGTCGATGAGTGCACTGCGTTATTGTAAGCGAATTCAGCCAGTGCCAAGTTGTCTACCCAGGCATCTTGTTGGTAATTCACATAACATCGTAGATACTGCTGCAATGTGGCCTTCGTCCTCTCTGACTCTCTGTTCGTCTGTGGGGGTCTAGCTGACAAGAGGCATATTTCCACCTTCAGCAGTTACATCAGTTTTCTCCAAAACTGGGCTGTGAATTGTATTCCGCTGTCTGATACAATCTGATACATGTGCCACGAAGAGTTGTGCTGTCTTGTGTGCCGAGGGTAGTTTCTCGCAGGGTACAAAATGTGCCATCTTTGAAAAAGATCCACCACAACCCAGATCACTGTCTGTTTCTGCGACTCTGGCAAGTCGGTGATGAAATCCATGGCAATGGTTTCCCTCCTGGTCGATCGTTCGGGAGCATCAAAACCTTTCTTGTGCCTGAACATCACAGTGGCTGATGGCAACAGACATCAGCACACTTAGGGATCTGCAGAGTCTTCACAGCTTGCGTAACAGAACCAGCAACTCAGCATTTTGGCTAATCTACTTTATTTATTTATTTTAAATGATATTTATTAGAAGTTTAAAGATTACAGAAAAAAGAGAAGAGGAAAATAATAAAAAAATTAACAGAACATACATTACAGTAGATAAAAAGAGAGACATAGAAAAATAATACAACAATACAGAAAAAACAAAACAAAACACTAAAACACATCCAATATTCCATATCTTTACCTTTCATTTACTTGTTTCATCGACCTCCTCACACCTCCCTTTTTTGTATTCTAGTTCAATTCACTATTTCAGCAAATTCTTTCCATCTTTCTCAATTTTTGTTCTATAATTTATCTTAACGGTCTAACCTTAAATTTTTCCATTTTAGCCCATTATCAATAAGCTTTTACTTAATTCTTTATTACATTTCTGCTAAAACCATATAGCTTCATTCCAGCATCCTTCTAACATTCATTAATTTTGCAATGTTTTTGTAAATATACTTTAAATTTTTTCCAATCTTCTTCCACCAACTCTTCTCCCTGGTCTCGTATTCTGCCAGTCATTTCCGCCAGTTCCATGTAGTCTGTCAGCTTCATCTGCCATTCTTCCCTGGTAGGTAGATCTTGTGTCTTCCAATACTTTGCGATAAGTATTCTTGCTGCTGTTGTGGCGAACATAAAAAAAATCCTATCTTTCCTTGGCACCAATTGGCCGACCATGCCCAGGAGAAAGGCCTCTGGTTTCTTCAAGAAGGTATATTTAAATACCTTTTTCATTTCATTATAGATCATCTCCCAGAATGCCTTAATCTTTGGGCATGTCCACCAAAGGTGAAAGAATGTGCCTTCAGTCTCATTACATTTCCAACATTTGTTATCGGGCAAATGATAGATTTTTGCAAGCTTGACTGGTGTTATGTACCACCTATAGATCATTTTCATTAAATTCTCTTTTAGGGCATTACATGCCGTAAACTTCATACCTGTGGTCCATAACTGTTCCCAGTCAGCCATCATAATATTATGTCCAACATCTTGTGCCCATTTAATCATAGCAGATTTCACCGTTTCATCTTGAGTATTCCATTTCAACAGCAAGTTATACATTCTTGACAAATTCATAAAACTCCAGGAAATGTTGTGATAGACAACAATCCCATGACTGCAGACACGGGGAATGAATCTCCAATAGGTAGTGGTTGTAGTAGGCCTGCTGGGGTCTCGCGGGGCCTCTGCCCGTTGACGGGTGTTACACGCCCATACATACTCCTTGACCTCCTCTTGCATCCTTGGCCGCCAGAAGTCGTGCATTACTAGGCATTCTGTCTTCCATTGCCCAAAATGGCCTGCCATCGGACTATCGTGGCATTGTCTGAGTACCTTGGCTCAGAGTTCCCCTTCTGGGACGTAGAGGGCTCCCCCTCTGTACAGCAACCCTCCTCTCTGTGAAATCCTTTGCATCACTCCCCCATTTTGTATCACCTCTTTCTTCTTCTGAGCAAGCCCATCTTCCCCCGTTGGCTTCAGAAACTTGGCCATCATCGCTGCCAGTCACAGTTGCTCAGGATTGAGGATCAGTCTCTGTTCTGGCACGGTTTCAGTTCCAAAGTATTTTTGCTTCCTGGACCACGCATCTGCTCCCTGGTTCTGTGACCCCAACACATACTTTATTCTATAGTTGAATCTGGCAAAGAATTGCGCCCACCTAACTTGTCATTGGTTCAGGTGCCTGGCTGTCTGCCAGTATTCCAGTTTTTTGTGGTCAGTGTGTACTTCCACTTGGTGCTGTGCTCCCTCTAGGAAATGGTGCCACGTTCGCAGGGCATCCTTGACGGCCAGCAACTCTTGTTCCCATATTGTGTAGTTCTGTTCCAATGGGTTTAGTTTCCGTGAGTGAAAGGCGCGTGGTCTCAGCTCCCCTTTTTCACCTGCCTGGAGTAGCATTGCCCTGAGCACCTTGTCATCATCATCATCATCATTTTTATTCGACCGTCAGTCAGAAAAAAGTACATTTTGTCAATACACAGTTAAAAACATCCAGGAAGATTTTAAAACTTAGCCAACACTAAAATGGGCTAAACAGATAGCCCCATATCAATACAGTCAATTATAGTCTTGCGACGCTTAAAAGCTAAGAAGAGAAATTTGGCCACCAAGGAAGGTATAGCTCTAGTGGTGTTATTCAGCAAGTGTAAAACCTGGTTTTCTCCGGGTAGGAAGCTGAATTGACATAAGAGTGGGTCTATAAAATTTTGTCTAAGCTCTGCATAAGAAGGGCAAGTCAAGAGAATGTGTTCGGTGGACTCAACCACACCCATGGCACAATGACAGGTTCTCTGGGTGTATGGTACTCCCCTGTACCTTCCCCACAATATCGCAGAGTCAAGGACATTTAATCTAGCCGCTGTAAGAAGTCTACGGTATTCCACATAGTGGATTTCTGCAAGGTAGGGGGCTGGTATGGTCCGATAAATCTGGTCCCCTAGGAACATCCCTGGTTTTACCTGGGCTATGTCCTCTTGTCTGGCAATGTCACTCAGTCTCCGTGAGATCACAGCTCTAGCTTGATTGTACGTCATGGACTCAAAATAAAGGAGAGACAATCCGCAGGATTGAACCTCATTAATGACCTCCCTTTCCCACGATGATTGGAAATCGTCCCTCAATATCAAGGGGGCAATACCCACTGGTTTAAAACAAAGCTTGAGCCATAGCCAGAGCTTCGTCTTCAAGGCCACATACCGTAGAGCTTGCCAGCCGACCTCTAATCTCATAACCGCACCTGCTACCGAGGGGGGAATCCTAAGGATGGCTCTAAGGAATCGCATTTGGATAGAATCCAGTTTCAAAAAATCCCTACGGGAGCCTAAAGAGATGCCCACCAAAAGAAGGGGATGACTTTCATTTGAAAGAGTCTCAAAGCTATCTTGATTGATTGAGCCTGATTCTTAGCATATAGAGATCTAATCTGGATGGCTGCTTTAGATGCGTTAGTTGTTATATAGTCTCTATGGGCCAGAAAAGACCTATTTGACCGTATTACTTGTCCCAGATATTTAAAGCAGTTTACCTGCTCGTGTGGGATCCTGTTCATCGACCATCGATGGAGTCTCGGTCAGGCAGAGAAGACCATGATCTTGGTCTTAGCATAGTTGGGTTGGAGCTCATGCTGATCACAGTATTCATGTAGAGCTTGCAACATTCTCCTCAGTCCAATAGGGGATCTGGCAAGAAGTGCGGCGTCATCCGCATACAGAAGAACGTTCAGAGATCGGCCTGCTAATTTGGGGGGGTGGAAAGCATCATTGGCCATGTGAGTCACCAGTGAGTTAATGTAAAAATTAAACAATGCAGGGGCCAATAGACAACCCTGTCTTACCCCTCTAGTGGTGGTAACCGGGTTGGAGACTAGGCCTTTATTGTCTAGTCTGATTCTCAGAAAGGTGTTTGTATGGAGGCTGATAATCAGGTGAAGGAGACGGCGATCGATCTTTGTAGCGGCCAGTTTTGTCCATAGCTGCTTTCTAGAGATTCGATCAAATGCCTGCTTAAGGTCAATAAAGGCCACATGAAGAACCTTTGGGGCTTTGCCGGCATACTTTTCCGCCAGGTGATTCAAGGTTAATATTTGGTCTGTGGTAGATCTTCCAGGGCGAAAGCCCGCCTGTTCATCGGCAATGATATTGTCGTCCTCCATCCATTTCGATAGTTTGTTTAGCAGGTATCCCGAGTAAATCTTCCCAATGACATTTAGCAAGCTGATTGGCCTAAAGTTGCTCGGCTTTGTACGTGGTCCTTTCTTATGTATTAATACAATCAACGCAGAGCTCCAGCTTGAGGGAAATTTTGCTGTTTTGTTTATATGCGTGTAAAGTGCTGCTAAAAGTGGGATCCACCAATCTTTGTTTGCTTTGATGACATCAATGGATATAAGGTCATCACCGGGGGCCTTGCCTGCTTTAAATCGATCTATGAGAGTTTCAACTTCAGGGCATGTAACTGGGTCCCAATCGGGCAGGGCTTCCGGCTCCACCGTATCTCCGCAGGCATCGTGAGCTGCATACAGATCGGCGAAGTATCTTTCCCAAGTGTCCGCTGAGATGTGGGGTTCTATTCTTGCAAGCGGCCTACCCAGGTATCTGGAAATTAACTGCCAAAAAGAGGCTGGATTTCTATTCTCTGCAGCTATCAAGAGGTTGTTCCAATTTTTTCTTTCTGCCTCGAGCTTCTTTTCCTTTAGTAGGGCTTTATAACTTCTCCTGAGGGTGATAAGACGGTTATTTGGCATGGGGTCATTTGATGCTCTGTATGCCAACCATTCATTATACAGATGATTCTTGAAGTTTTTGCATTCCTCATTGAACCATTTTTTGTGGAAAAACTGTTTTCCATGCTTTGTGGGGGACCGAGCAAGTGTTGGTTTTAGAAGTTCTACTAAATCGTCATACATTGGTAGAGGGTCATCCGCCTGCATAAGGGAAGCCCTTTTTATTTGGAGCTGATCAGACCAGAGAAGTTCATTCAGCTGCTGGGCCGAATTGGAGGTCCATTTAAGGGCTGTAGGTCTTATCTCCAGATGGTCATTTGATAGATGCACAAAGGAGTGCCTATCAAGTTCGTCAGCCAGAGTCAAGGAAATTTCTAGAGGGAAGTGATCACTTTCCAATCTTGAAGCCACCTTAAAGCTGGATATTTTTGAGGTGAGGTCAGGAGATATCCATACAAAATCAATAGTGGATGCACGTGAACCTGACCAATAGGTGAATTCGGCAGGGTAGTCCGAGCTGATTGCCCCATTTAGCAGAAGGAAATTGAGGGCCAGCAAGGTTTGCCTGCATTTGAAACCTGCGTAAGTGGCTATGTTATCTTTGAATTTCCTTGGTAGAAGATCTGTAGTCATATGAGGTGAAGAAGGGTACTTGCTAAATTTAGAGAATAAGATTTGGTCAGTGTGCGACAGGCGTCCATTAAAATCTCCCGCCAACAGAAAAGTGGCTTCGGGGTATTTATCAAAAAGCGTTTCCAATGTCACTTGGATTTCCTGCCATCTCAGATCAACCAAATTTCTCTTATAAATTGGACATAAGTAGATATTGATCACTACTATCGTTTCCTCTGCTGTTTGCAACTTTATAATCAGCATGAGTGACGACTGGATGTCGATTTTTTCGGCCTGAAGATTTATGGCTAGGGAAACAAAAGTAGCCAAGCCTCCTTGCGGTCTACCATGTGATAACGGATTCTGCGTGGCATTCAGGTAGAAGCCCTTGTATCCTGTTAGATAGAAGTCCTCACAGGCCCATGACTCTTGGAATAGGAGGATGTGGCTGCCATTTATATAAGCAACAAATGATGGATCTGTCAGTTTGGATTTAATACCAGCCACATTCCATGATAGTAGTGTAAGAGGCCGCTTTGTGTTTCCCTCAAGTCATGATTTCTCTTGCGTGGTTAATCCTGGAGAATCCAAATGGGGGTGCACGCTGCGTGAAGGGGCAGTAGGGTGAAAAAAGGCAGTGATTTTTGATTGTTTGCACTTCAGGTTCAAGTTGTCACATGTCACAGGAGCAGCCAGTGGCTGGGGCGAATTTACAGATCGTTGTAAGAGAAAATCTTGATACGAGGGGGTGTTGCTAACCGACAAGTCCATAGACTCGTCGTTTGCCATATGCTCTGTAGTTGCAGGAGTCATGCCTTGAGGATCGAGGCTTGTTGATGGAAAAGCACTATGCAAGACAGAAGAAAGACATCCTTTTCGGTTAGCTTCCAGTAGCTTGTTTAGCCTTGCCACTGCCTCAGTGTTTGTCCAAAGGGCTACTGGATCCCCCAGTGTCTCTTGCATCGTCATGGTATCAGCACAAGGAATGCAGCCATTTTGAGGATTGGAGATCGTTTTCGCTGCAGGGGGGTCCACATAGGCTTGTGTCTGCCATTCTTTAGAGGCATCTATAGTGGCCAAAGCTGGACCCGTCAAAGCTCTACCCCTTAAGGCAGTCCCTTCTTGCCGGTGGGATGGTTGGCTAGTCGGCTAGTAAATCGTGGGGAGGGGTTCATAGGAAGGGTCCGTTGCTGCGAATTCTGGTCCTCAGTCCTCCTTGTAGGCCGGCTAACCAAATTTGCTGAATTTGGGATTTTCCCAATAATGCCCCTACAATTGTTAAAGAAGCATCTTTGTGGAAAGATTCCAAACCAGTTGAGACGATTTTGAAGTTTGCTCAAAAGTGCAGGAAGCCTGGGAGAGTCGAACTTGAGCAACAAGCGCTTAAATTTTGGAGTCTCTGGCAGCCATTCTAATGATAGGAGACCACCCTGGGCCAAGTAAGACCTGGTCAACATTCGCAATGAGATCACAGCAGCTTTACGATTTCTCCAGGCATAATAGGGGAAGCAGGAGTGAGAGATGTTCAAGCATATATTGTTAAGGGTAAGTTGGAGGTTTACTAGCTGCTGCCCCCTACTTAGGCTCTGTGCCTCATAATTATCAGGTCCCTGATGATTTAGTGGCGGGTTCAAAATCGAGACAGGGGTTTTGGTGAAGGCATTTAGTTTTCCCTCTAACATATTGATGGAAGCTGATAGCACCTTTATTTCGTCAGCCAAGTGAAGGCAATATTTCTGCAAAGTCCTCAGCTCCGCTGATTGTACTATATCACATAAAGATTTACGATGAGGGTCGGGGTAGGGAGAGAGGCCATCTGGGCTGGAGGTCATATCCAACAGCGATTTGTCTCCTGACAAGGGAGTATTTAAAGTCGTTGGGGGATCATGTGGACAGTCTATCTGCTTGGAGGTGTTTAAAACGTTGTTTGGAGTCATTGCAGGATCATGTAGGCAATCTAACTGCTTGGAAGTAACAGGTGAAGGAGGCACAAGATTGCAGAAAAACTCCTCCAATGATGAGATAGAAGGCTCTAAGATCTTAGGTGGTGAATCCAGCCCAGTAGGCTTCGAAACCTTAGACCTAGGTTCTGAGGCATTAAAGGAACAGTCTTCCACAGAAGAGGTACGGCCACGTTTTAGATTCGTCATGCTAAACCCCTTGAGCGGCTCGGTTATCTAAGGGTCCTTCAAAGGCCAAGCAAGAGCTGGTGGAAGGCCAGGGAAGCGCGGCCGGTGGCTGCCCAAGTTACAGCTAGTCAGGTTGTTAGTGAAGCTCATTAAGGAGATTTATGGCGCTGGCTTTGCAAGCTTCCACAGGGTGAGCTCCTGGCGTTATCATCAAAACATTATTGTGCCAACTTCCAGAGAAAAATAGGAGCGGAGTAACTTACAGCATGAACTAGAAAGGGAGCTCCGGCAAGCGCGTCTTACTTCCAAGGTGACTTCCCTCCAGCACCAGCAGTTTATCAACGTCGCCAGTAAAACAATAAAACGTTAGCTAAGAAAAACAGGGGCAGTGGTGAGGTGATAAGGCAGCCAATAAATCATTAAAACTGTAAAATTAGAGTCCAGGAAGGCTAAAAAAATACTTAAAATCTTAATTGAAGACAGGCGAACCTGACTATGCTGCTATCTCTGTCGCCATCTTGTTTTCCCTTCGAGCACCTTGTCAGATGCATCTGTCTCCACGATCATCGGCCTGTGCGGGTCTAGGCGTGCTAAATACTTTCCCTCAGCGAACATGGTCTTGAGCTTCTTGAAGGCTTTCCACACTTCTTCTGTCCACCGGAATGGTTGTTTGCCTCTCAACCTGTCATCGGTGCCTTGAGTCCAGAGTACCGATGTATAAATTTCTGGTAGTAGTTGGCAAATCCTAAAAACCTTTGCACATCCTTTCGTGTCCTGGGTTCTTGCCATGACTCTACCGCCTGCACCTTTGCTGGGTCCATGTGCACCCCCTCCAGGGTGATTCTGTAGCCCAAGAACTCCACTTCTGTCATGTGAATTGGCATTTTTCCAACTTTGCATATAGTCGGTGTTCCCTCAGCTGTTGTAGCACCTCTTTCACATGTTGTATGTGTTCTTTCGGGCTCTCTTGAGTAGATCAAAAGATCGTTGAGGTACGACAAAACCGATTTGTCCAAAAGATCTGACAGCATGTGATTGATGAATGCCTGGAAGGTGGCTGTGCCCAACTGTAGTCCAAACAGCATCACGAACTACTCAAAGGTCCCATACCTTGTGTTAAAAGCCGCCTTCCATTCATTACCTTGTCTCACCCGTATCAGATTGTAAGCCCCCCTCTGGTCCAGTTTCATGAAAATTTTCACCAACCTCAACCTCTCCAGTAGATCCCCAATCCGCGGAAATGGTTAACGTCTGGGAATCATGTGCTGGTTGGTTTTCCTATAGTCTACAACAAGCCTTTTCTCTGAAGTGTCTTTCTTATTCACAAAGAAGACTGGAGCTCCTCCCGGAGTCTTCATCGGCTGTAAGAACCCCTGCTCCAAATTCTTCTGCAGAAACTCCCTCAATTTGGCTAACTCCGCTTCCAACATGGAGTAGAGGCAGCTGGTGGGTATCTCAGGTCTATTTTGCAGTCATAAGGCCTGTGCGGGGGTAGCCTGTCTGCCTCCTTTTCACAGAACACGTCTCTGAAGGACTTACACTGCAGGGGTATCTCTCTCTCCTCTCCAGTGAGAGGTCCACAGACTGTCATCCCGTTGGCATCGCCTCTTCTCTCAGTCTTCATTCCTAGACAGTGTAGTCTGCAGTGCGCCAACGAAAAGGTCATGGATCTCTGTCCCCATAAGATCACTGGATCATTTCAAGATAGCCACCTCATTCCCAATACCACGGGGTAGGAGGTCAACCTATGGACTGCAATGGTCTCTTGATGACCCAGAAACTCAATGCGAGGCCTCCGGAACAGATTGGAACAGATCTTTTCCCGATGGTGTCTCTCTGCACTCTCTGGCGTTGCCACACTCATCCCTGATAAGGCTCCTTGGGGCCTTCCCACTGTGCACTGTCAGACCATATGGTTGGCAGACCCACAGGTGAAACACAAACGCTTTCTCTGCCCATGTGGTTCCTGGCACTCTTCCCCCTCTGAGGGAGCCCAATTGCATGGGTTCCCCTTCATCCTGGTTTGGCGGCCCCACGGTCTCTCCCAGGACATATATTCAGGAGCTCCCAGGCCTCCCTTGCTCCCTTGTGGCGCGACTGGAATCTCAGGCCTAACTGCAGAGCGACTTGCCCCACCTCTTCCAAGGTGTTCAACATGGCATTTCCGCAAGTTCATTGCAAATCTCCTCGCAGAGTCCCGCTTTGAACAGGGCAATCAAGGCCTTCCCTGCCCACTCCAGTTGACAGGCGTGCATCATAAAACTGGACCAATACTGTGCTACTGTCCCCTTTCCTTGCCTGAGGTTCAGGAACTCCTGTTCCAACTACGCCTATTGTGCGGGATTCCTGAGTATGTTGTCCAAGAGCTTCAAAAAGGCAGGTAAATTAGTGAGCACGCGGTCATTGACATCAGGTAAGGGGGAATCCACTGTCTAGCCGCCGCCCCCAGAAGCCCCACAGTCGTGGCTATTCTTGCTTCATCATCTCTGTATTCTTCCCCTTTAAGACGCAGGCAATATAAGCAGGAGGCTCAGAAGGAGTCATACTCTGCCCTATTCCCATTGAAGTGTGGGGGTGGGGGGACTAGGTTTTTTGCAGTTTGCCTACCGGATAAGTCAGAGAGCTGTCTTGCCTGTTCTCCCGTCACTCCTTCCAGTCGTGCTAATATTATCTTTAATTCTTGATTCTCTGCCCAGAGAAATTGTGTAGGATCCACTGCCATTGGAGCCTCCGCAGCTGCCGCTCCTTGCCCGGATTGCATTTTCACGGGCTGCTGCTGCTGTCGCTTTTCAGCCATCCTTGCTTAATTATCTGATGGGCTTTCGTTCTCAGCAGCAGTTGAGTTGAGTCATGCTGTAGTGGCAGCAAGACTTGAACACGTACAGTCAATTAAAAGTTGGTTTTATTCCTGAAAAAACTTGCCTCTTGTACGGACCTCTCTGCCCCCATGACTTATGGCTACCCTTATGATGACTCAACTAAATCCTCAGCTTTGTTCCTCTTCTTCCAGAAACAACACGTAAAGACGAATCTGATTCGTCTTCACGTGTGGCTGATTAGCTGCTCTCCCTGTGCAAGGGTCAGAGGGGGCAGGGTTTCTGTTGAGGCAGGTGATTAGCTGTGGGAGGAGCTTATCAGAGCTTGCAGGGCAGTTTGATCCATCTTTTAGATTTAGGGGAGCTAGTCTCAAACGTTTGTTGGGGGAGATACCTAGGTTTTTTTGGGGGGGAGTAATTTTCCTGTCTTCATGCTTTTTATGATGGAGGACCGCTGTAGCCACCCCCAACGACACGTTCTCAAGATGGAGGGGGAGGGAACAGCTGCAGTCGCCTGCGGTTCCTGCTCAATGTTTGCCATCTTGCCAAAGGTTGCAGGCAGCTTTACCTGCAGCAATTGCATGTTGATTGCCCTCTTAGAAGACAAAGTCCAGCAACTGGAGGAACGTGTAGCTACGCTCCAAAGAATTAGAGAGCTGGAGCTCTTCTTGGAAGCAACAGAGCACACCGTCTCCACCAAGGAGGAGACAAGGGACTCCCCTGAGAAGGAGGCTAGTTCACCAACACAGGAGCCAGATATATGGAGAAACGTGACCCAAAGAAGTAGGAGGCCCAGGGTTCGCTCTGATTGTTTAGAAATACAGAATCGCTTTGAGGTCCTCTCCCCTAGCATGGAAGACGAAGAGCAGACTCCATTTGAGGATCTCTCCCTCATTAGAGTCAATCAGGTATATGAAGACGAGCAGCAAAGTCAGTCCTCAGGGAATGTGCAGGCGACCTTGGAACGGACAGCTCACGGAAGAACCCCGACCAAACCTAAGAGGAGGCGTGTAGTGGTGATAGGGGATTCCCTACTGAGGGAACAGAAGCAGTGATCTGTGGGCCTGACAAGATGTCTCGGGAAGTGTGCTGTCTCCCCGGGGCTAAGATCCAAGATGTAATGAACAACTGCAAGGAATCATAAAACCCACTGACAAATACCCCTTCCTCTTGGTTCATGTGGGAACCAATGACACTGCAAGCAATAGCCTCCAGAAGATAAAAAGGAACTATGAAGCTCTGGGCAGGAAATTGAAGCAATTAAATGCACAAATTGTCATCTCATCTGTCCTCCCAGTTGAACGACGTGGCCCAGGGAGAGAGGGAAAAATAGTGGATGTGAACAGCTGGCTTCGCAAATGGTGTAAACAGGAACGGTTTGGATTCTTAGATCACGGACTGCAGTTTCTTGAAGATGGACTTCTGGCAAGCGATGGGCTGCACCTCACAACGGTTGGGAGGAATGTTTTTGCCAAAAATCTCAGAAACCTCATCAGGAGGGCTTTAAACTGACTAATGTGGGGAGGGAGACAGTGCTCCTGAAGGTAGGAGTCTATCAATTGATGAAGATGATCATCCAAATGTCATAGACCAAATGGAGCAAACAGCACGCAGACCTAGTGGTGGGAGGAAAAAATCCTTAAATAAGAGACCCGGGGGAATGATTAATGGACTTCAATGTCTGTACACTACTGCGCAACGCATGGGAAATAAACAAGATGAGCTTGAGCTCTTGGTACAGCAAACTAAATATGACATAATAGGCATCACTGAAACCTGGTGGGATAAGTCCCACGATTGGAATGTAATAATGGGGGGATACAATCTATTTCAGAGAAACAGACCAGACGAGAAAGGAGGAGGAGTGGCGTTATATGTCAGGGATGTGTATACCTGTGAAGAGATCCAAGATTTAGAACCTCAAAGCCAAAGTGAGAGCATTTGGGTCAAAATTAAGGGAGAGAAGAATAACAGTGACCTCATTGTGGGAGTTTACTATAGATCCCCAAGCCAAACGGAGGACATAGATGATGCCTTCCTGGAACAGATGGCCAAGCATGCAAAAGGAAGGGAGATAGTAGTAATGGCGGACTTCAATTACAGTGGTGCCTCGCAAGACGAAAATAATCCGTTCCGCGAGTCTCTTCATCTAGCGGTTTTTTCGTCTTGCGAAGCAACCCTATTAGCGGATTAGCGCTATTAGCGGTTTAGCGGTTTAGCAGCTATTAAAGGCTTAGCGGCTCAGAAAAAGGGGGGGAAAGCAAAAAAAATCGCAAGACTCGCAAGACGTTTTCGTCTTGCGAAGCAAGCCCATAGGGAAATTTGTCTTGCGAAGCGCATCGAAAAACGGAAAACCCTTTTGTCTAGCGGGCTTTTCGTCTTGCGAGGCATTCGTCTTGCGGGGCACCACTGTACCCGGATATTTGTTGGATGTCAAACTCAGCCAAGAGCATAAGGTCAAACAGATTCCTCACTGGCCTTGCAGACAACTTCATTGTCCAGAAAGTGGGAGAAGCAACAAGAGGAACTGCCATTTTAGATCTGGTCCTAACCAATGTTGATGACCTGGTTAGTGGGGTAGAAGTGGAAGGATCATTAGGCGCAAGTGATCATGCTCTTCTGAAGTTTACTATACAGCGGAAAGGAGCAGCCAAGCATACTAGGGCTCAATTTCTTGACTTTAAGAAAGCTGACTTCATAAAACTTAGGGAAGTGCTGGGTGAGATCCCATGGACAGTAGTACTAAAAGGAAAGGGAGTTCATGATGGCTGGGAGTTTGTTAAGAGGGAGATAGTAAAAGCACAACTTCAGGCAATACCAATGAGACGGAAACATGGAAGGTGCCTAAAGAAGCCAGGGTGGCTATCTAAAGAACTTTTAACTGAGTTAAGATTAAAAAACGATGTGTACAAAAAATGGAAAAGGGGGGATACCAGCAAAGAGGAATTCAAACAAATAGCCAGCACGTGTAGACACAAAGTCAGAAAAGCTAAAGCACAGAATGAACTCAGGCTTGCTAGAGAGGTTAAAAGCAACAAAAAAGGCTTTTATGGGTATGTTCGTAGCAAAAGGAAGAACAAAGAAACAGTGGGGTCACTCAGAGGAGAAGATGGTGAAATGCAAACAGGGGACACAGAAAGGGCTGAAATGCTCAGTGCCTTCTTTGCCTCAGTCTTCTCCGATAAAGAAAACAATGCCTGACCTGAAGAATTTGGAGCAAATGATTCAGCAGAGGAAACACAGCCCAGAATAACTAAGGAGATAGTACAAGAATACTTGGCTAGTTTAGATGTATTCAAGTCTCCAGGGCCAGATGAACTGCAGCCAAGAGTATTAAAAGAACTGGCAGATGTGATCTCAGAACCACTGGCAGTCATCTTTGAGAATTCCTGGAGAACAGTCAAAGTCCCGGCAGACTGGAGGAGGGCAAATGTTGTCCCTATTTTCAAAAAGGGGAAAAGAGAGGTCCCAAATAATTACCGCCCACTCAGTCTGACATCAATACCAGGGAAGATTCTGGAGCAGATCATTAAGCAAACAGTCTGTGAGCACCTAGAAAGGAATGCTGTGATCACCAATAGTCAGCATGGATTTCTGAAAAATAAGTCATGTCAGATTAACCTGATCTCATTTTTTGACAGAATTACAAGCCTGGTAGATGAAGGGAACGCAGTGGATGTAGCCTACCTTGATTTCAGCAAGGCATTTGACAAGGTGCCCCATGAGATTCTTGTAAAGAAGCTGGTAAAATGTGGTCTTGACTATGCTACCACTCAGTGGATTTGTAACTGGCTGACTGACCGAACCCAAAGGGTGCTCATCAATGGTTCCTCTTCATCCTGGAGAAGAGTGACTAGTGGGGTGCCACAGGGTTCTGTCTTGGTCCCGGTCTTATTCAACATCTTTATCAACGACTTGGATGATGGACTCAAGGGCATCCTGATCAAATTTGCAGATGACACCAAACTGGGAGGGGTGGCTAACACCCCAGAGGACAGGATCACACTTCAAAACGACCTTGACAGATTAGAGAACTGGGCCAAAACAAACAAGATGAATTTTAACAGGGAGAAATGTAAAGTATTGCACTTGGGCAAAAAAAATGAGAGGCACAAATACAAGATGGGGGACACCTGGCTTGAGAGCAGTACATGTGAAAAGGATCTAGGAGTCTTGGTTGACCACAAACTTGACATGAGCCAAGAGTGTGACGCGGCAGCTAAAAAAGCCAATGCAATTCTGGGCTGCATCAATAGGAGTATAGCATCTAGATCAAGGGAAGTAATAGTGCCACTGTATTCTGCTCTGGTCAGACCTCACCTGGAGTACTGTGTCCAGTTCTGGGCACCACAGTTCAAGAAGGACACTGACAAACTGGAACTTGTCCAGAGGAGGGCAACCAAAATGGTCAAAGGCCTGGAAACGATGCCTTATGAGGAACGGCTAAGGGAGCTGGGCATGTTTAGCCTGGAGAAGAGGAGGTTAAGGGGTGATATGATAGCCATGTTCAAATATATAAAAGGATGTCACATAGAGGAGGGAGAAAGGTTGTTTTCTTCTGCTCCAGAGAAGCGGACACGGAGCAATGGATCCAAACTACAAGAAAGAAGATTCCACCTAAACATTAGGAAGAACTTCCTGACAGTAAGAGCTGTTCGACAGTGGAATTTGCTGCCAAGGAGTGTGGTGGAGTCTCCTTCTTTGGAGGTCTTTAAGCAGAGGCTTGACAACCATATGTCAGGAGTGCTCTGATGGTGTTTCCTGCTTGGCAGGGGGTTGGACTCAATGGCCCTTGTGGTCTCTTCCAACTCTATGATTCTATGATCTCTTCTGTCACTTCTATGATGTCAATTTCCCCTTTTCTTATACCACTCCTCTCCTGCATTCTTGCAGGCTGAGAGGCTTGGAAACTGGCCCAGACAAACTATTGTCTGATAACTCCTGTATTTATCTGGGCTGTGAACTCCCCCCTGTACTTTCCTCTGTTCTTCCCATAACAATCCTCCCTTTGTGGTGTAGTGGTTAAGAGCAGTAGACTCGTAATCTGGGGAACCGGGTTCACGTCTCTGCTCCTCTACCTGCAGCTGCTGGGTGACCTTGGGCCAGTCACACTTCTTTGAAGTCTCTCAGCCCCACTCACCTCACAGAGTGCTTGTTGTGGGGGAGGAAGGGAACGGAGAATGTTAGCTGCTTTGAGACTCCTTCGCGTAATTATAAAGTGGGATATCAAATCCAAACTCTCCTTCTTCTTCTTCTTCTTCTTCTTCTTCTTCTTCTTCTTCTTCTTTTCCCTCTGGGCTCCCGTCCAAGTCTGGCAGCTGCTGCTGTTCGCTTGCTGGCTCCAGCCTTACATCATCAAACAATGCGTGAAGACGAATCTCTTCCGTCGCTTCTGTGATGTCAATTTCCCCTTTTCTTTTACCCCTCCTCTCCTGCGTTCCTTCAGGCTGAGAGGCTTGGAAACTGGCTCAGACAAACTATTGTCTGATAACTCCTGTATTTCTCTGGGCTGTGACCTCCCCCCTGTACTTTCCTCTGTTCTTCCCATAACAATCCTCCCTTCATCCCCTGGGCAGCCATTCAAGTCTGGCAGCTGCTGTTGCTCGCTTGTTGGCTCCAGCCTGACAAATACCGATAACTGAACAAACTTTGTTGCATTACATTCTTGATTAAACTATCTTTCCATTGGTAAATAATTTCACAATGTTATTAATAATACTTTTATTGTCATTGTACAACCTGTGTACAATGAAATTCAACGAGCCTCCCTCCCAAAGAAGTGGTGTTATGAGCCCCCAAAAGGCTTTCACAATTTTGGCCACTACTGTATATCAAGCAAAGCAACATTCAACAACCATCAGAATCTAATAATAAATACGTTGGTTAATGACAAACAACAAAGGCAGTGAACACACACGCAACTCCCTTCAGTTCTCCTTCATTTGTTCCTGAGGCTTAAATCTCTTTTTGCCTCCATTGCAGATTGTGACGAATTGCAGATCGAGAACAAGGATGAACACGACAAAATCCCCAGAGAGGAGAAGCCACATAAGAATTTGGAGTGTGGAGAGAGCTGCAGTCAGAGCTCCCATTCCAGTTCCCAACAAAGAAATCTCAATGGAAGGAAACACTATCAGTGCAGGGAATGTGGAAAGAGTTTCAGTCAGAACTCCTCTCTCACTTCCCATCAAAGAACTCATACAGGGGAGAAACCCTATCAGTGCAGGAAATGTGGAAAGAGCTTCAGTCAGAGCTCTAGTCTCACTTCCCATCAAAGAACCCATACAGGGGAGAAACCCTATCAGTGCATTGAATGTGGAAAGAGCTTCAGTATGAAGGCCTCTCTCACTTCCCATCAAAGAATTCATACAGGGGAGAAACCCTATCAGTGCATGGAATGTGGAAAGAGCTTCAGTCAGAGCTCTGATCTCAATTCCCATCAAAAAATTCATACTGGGGAGAAACCCTTTCAGTGCATGGAATGTGGAAAGAGCTTCAGGAAGAGCTCCCATCTCACTTCTCATCAAAGACTTCATACAGGGGAGAAACCCTATCAGTGCGTGGAATGTGGAAAGAGCTTCAGTTACAGCCAAAGTCTGACTTCCCATCAAAGAATTCATACAGGGGAGAAACCCTATCAGTGTGTGGAATGTGGAAAGAGCTTCAGTCAGAGTGCCGGTCTCACTTCCCATCAAAGAATTCATACAGGGGAGAAACCTTATGAGTGCATGGAATGTGGAAAGAGCTTCAGTCGGAACGACTGTCTCACTTCCCATCAAAGAATTCATACAGGCGAGAAACCGTATCAGTGCATGGAATGTGGAAAGAGCTTCAGTCAGAGCTCCGATCTCAATTCCCATAAAAAAATTCATACTGGGGAGAAACCACATCAGTGCATGGAATGTGGAAAGAGCTTCAGTATGAAGGCCTCTCTCACTTCCCATCAAAGAATTCATACAGGGGAGAAACCATATCAGTGTTTTGAATGTGGAAAGAGCTTCAGTCAGAGCGCCCATCTCACTTCCCATCAAAGAATTCATACAGGGGAAAAACCCTATCAGTGCATGGAATGTGGAAAGAGCTTCAGTCAGAGTAATGATCTTAATTCCCATCAAAGAATTCATACAGGGGAGAAACCCTATCAGTGTGCAGAATGTGGAAAGAGCTTCACTCACAGCCACTATCTTACTTCCCATCAAAGAACCCATACAGGGGAGAAACCCTATCAGTGCATTGAATGTGGAAAGAGCTTTAGTCGGAGCTACTCTCTCACTTGCCATCAAAGAGTTCATATTGGGGAGACATCCTTCATTATATAGCTTTAGGAGACAAGGAAATCTGCACTTTTTAAAAATGTGGTGAGAAGAGGGTTACATATGTGTATTTTGTGTTTTTATATTGTGTTTTTGTTTTATGTTGTAACCGTCCTGACACATGGCAACAGGAGTCAATCTTTAGAGGCTGAGGGTTTTTTGCCCCCCCAATAAAACATTTGAGGGTGCCACCCTCCCAGTTGGTAGGCATTGCCATTCTAATGGCATGCATGCATCATGTGTTTGATTGTGCAAGGCAGACCTTACCTGACCCACCACCAATATTTTATTCAATTCAGCACCACTGGGTTGAGTATTATACAAATTAAATAAAGACATAAATCGCCCTCCCTTGCACATGTTCCAGCTTGTCAATATTCTTAGAATCATTTTTAAAATTTATGTGCCCTTCGTCTGAAGATTTCACAATATAAACATACAGGATGAAAGCATGGATTTCTCAAAAACAAGTCCAGCCAGAGAAATCTCTCCTCCCCTTTTTTGGATGGAGTTACAAACTTTGTTGATCAGGGAACAGCTGTGGAAATAGTGCATCTTGATTTCAGTAAGGCTTTTGACAAAGTCCCCCATGATCTTTCTGTGAAAGCCGGTAAAATGTGCGCTGAATGAGGAAACTGTTAGGTGGATTTGACTGACCGAACCCAAACAGTCCTCCTTCATGGTTCCTCATCATCCTGGGGTGCTGCAGGGTTCTGTCCTGGGCCCGTTGTTGTTCAACGTCTTTATAAATGACTTGGATGAAGAAACTGAGGGGGTGCCCATCACATTTGCAGATGACACCAAATGGGGAGCAAAGGCAATGTGGCAGAAGGCAGAATCAGATCAAGGGCAGGAATAGTACCACTTTCAGACCCCACCTTGAATACTGTGTTCAATTCTAGGCACCACAAGTTAAGTATCTTAAATATTGGTTGCCTGGAGAAATCAAGAAGGTGGGGGAACACAATCCGTATTCCTTTTATAACATGTGGCCAATGTTTATTGAATACATGTATTGTTAAGACTGTTGTAGGAATCCACCCAGCACTCAGTAATTTTTAATAAACATTAAATGTGGGACGTGTAAGCACTAACCCCCACCCCACCCCAATCTCTCAGAGTGAAAATACCTCTGTGGGCGGGATCGGCTAATAGGATAGCTTGAAGAACTGGGTCAATCACTGGCGCTGTATGTATATATAGAGAACCATTGTATATATATGGGTAATCAGTTGTGACGGCAGTGAGACACTCAAGAGTGCAGTTCATTTATAAAGTTGGTTTCATTCCAAGAAAAGAACAGATTACCAGGAGCTCTTCTCCCGCGAGCTGGTCGCCATTACGATGATGACTCAACTAAGTTCTCAGTGTCACGTTTCATCCTACAAATGCAACGTGGGAGGAAACTTCTCTTCATACTCTGTGACGAAACGCATCCTTTTTCCTGTAACCCACCCCCCGCTCTTGAATACTCAAAGGCTGGCCAGCCATTTATGAGAGGCTATCTGTGGAGTTCGGCCTTTCACCTACATTCTGGGAGAGTGTTTCCATGATAACCCCCCCTCCTTTTGCTCTGGGCCATCTTCCAACCCTGGCAGCTGCTTGGACTCTGACAGAGGTGTTGAAAACAAATGAAATTAGACACAAGTGGAAATTTCCTGAAGGTATTTCCTTCACCTACAAAATAGAAGAAAGATAGAAGAAAGACTTTTAGATCCCCAGAATTCGGAAATTTTTGGCAGAAATACAAAATATACAAAATAGGCTTGGGAGGGGGTACAGCTCAAGAAAGTGAAGAAAGTGAACAAGGACAGGAAAGTCCAGGAGGATAAGAAAATAAGCAGAGTTTCCCACAACTATATTATTGTACTTAATTGCAGTTCTGTATTTGATGTTGATATTTGATGTTGATAATTGAATTTGTGTCTAATAAAGATTAATGAATTTGAACATTATATCGTGGAACATCAATGGTTTGAACAATAAGGTAAAAAGGAATAAAAGTGAACGAATATTAAGAAAGAAAAATTGGGACATCATTGGTCTCCATGAAACACATATAGCTAAGAAACATGACAGAGTTTTCATAGATAAGAAATTAGGAACAGAATACATAGCTTCAGATGTTTCCAAAAAGAGCGGAATAGTTATATATATATAAACCAAAAGAGATGTAAAAATACCACTTAAAGATGACGAAGGAAGAATATTAGGAATACAATTGACAAAAGGCAGAGAAGAAATAATTTTGGTGGGGGTATACGCACCAAGTGGAAATAAAACAAACTTCAAAAAAAAACCCTTGAAGATAAGCTATAGTGGTGCCTCGCAAGATGAAATTAATTCATTCCGCGAGTTTTTTCGTCTAGGGAATTTTTTGTCTTGCGAAGCACGGTGTCGGAAAAGTTTTGGAAAAGCTTCAAAAATCACCAAAAACCTCAAAAAAGGCTACCACACCACGTTCTATGAGTTGCTCCTCGAAGTCAAGTCGCAACTGTATTAACGGTGTTAAGAAAAAGGAAACAAACTTGCAAGACGTTTTCGTCTTGCGAAGCAAGCCCATAGGGAAATTCGTCTTGCGAAGCAGCTCAAAAACCGCAAAACCCTTTCGTCTTGCGAGGCATTCGTCTTGCCAGGCATTCGTCTTGCGGGGCATTTGTCTTGCGGTGCACCACTGTATTAGAATACAGTAATGACAGTATGATCATCATGGGAGACTTCAATGGAGTAACATCCCTGGCTCTAGATAGAACGGAGAGAGACGTAACATCAAGAAAAGGGAAGTTCCCAATAACATTTAATCAATTGGTAGAAGATCTGAACTTAAAAGATGCTTGGAGAGAGAAACAGATAAGGGACAGACAATATACCTTCTATGCATATGCTAAAAAATCAGATGCAATCCAGACTTCAAATAATCTAATACCTTTTCGAAGAAAAGTTGAGATCCTCCCGAAAATGGTATCAGACCATAATCTGGTAATGATGGAACTAAAATATAATAAAATTAAAAACAGAAGTTGGAGGTTGAATGGAAGATTATTAAATGATGAGAAAATATTAGAGATAACCGGATAGTCCTAGAAAGAACAGAGATCTTAGATTTGGAAAGCTACAATAATAGGTTTGGATTACACACCTATTTAGGTTACAATAAGAGCAAAGCCCATACAGATTTCAGCAACCATATTATAAGAAATGCTTTGTATAAAGTTTGGATAAAACGCCAGCCGCTTTTGGAACCATTGACACCCTGGCGGCTGTCCCTGCTTGAAGCCCATGCGGTGAAAATTTTTAATATACAACTATTAAAAAACGATCAAGGGAGAGTCATACTGGTACAGGTTGCGGTGCAAGGCTAAACAAATTTATTGATAGGAATTTATGCTCCAAATGAAAAATAAATCAGAATTTTATAAAAAGTTGGAGAATGATTTAATGGAATTTGCAGATCTAGAAATGATTTTGATGGGTGATCTGAACAGAGTGATGTCATTGGAAATGGACAGAACAATTAGGAAAAAGGATACTAAGGAGGGCAGACTTCCTAAAGCTTTCTTTGAATTGGTTGACAATTTCAATTTGCTAGATATTTGGAGAACCAAACATTGGTTAGATAGAGAATTCACATTTCATTCTGATGTATACGAAAGCAGTTCAAGAATCCATACGTTATGGGTGTCTAAAGAATTAGAATTGAAGGTAAGAAAAATACAGATACAGTGGTACCTCAGGTTAAGTACTTAATTCATTCCGGAGGTCCGTTCTTAACCTGAAACTGTTCTTAACCTGAAGCACCGCTTTAGCTAATGGGGCCTCCTGCGGCTGCCGCGCCACCGGAGCACGATTTCTGTTCTCATCCTGAAGCAAAGTTCTTAACCTGAAGCACTATTTCTGGGTTAGCGGAGTCTGTAACCTGAAGCGTATGTAACCTGAAGTGTATGTAACCCGAGGTACCACTGTATTGCCAAGAACAATATCAGACCATAACCCTGTTTTTTTAGAAATGCAAAATGAAAATCAGTCTATGGAATACACTGGGATCTCCTTCTGCCCTTCTTTGATAGGGCTTGTGTACATCCATCTCCTCCCTCTGGGGGGCCACTGAGGTTTGCAAACTGGTGGTTCGGGGGGGGGGGCAAGCACAAAGGATTGCATCATCTCTCTCTGCTTGGCTCAGAGCCAGCTGCCTCCCTACTTCTGCTGGGTGTTAATGATCGCTGCAGCAGGAGCCGAGTGCCTGGCATGGATGAGACCTCATTCTGGCCTTCTGCTCCACTGAGCAAATGTGACAAAGGTCAGGGCTCCTTGGGGGGGGGCATAGAATTTCCCCAAAATCACAGACTCATCAGAGGGTTGCCCCACTGGCCTAGACTGGAGCCACTCTGGCCCTCATCCAGCGGGCTTGGGCACGACCCTGCTGACTCGTGCAGAGGTGGCCGCCTTCAACGGGACATTCTGGGATCCAAAGAGAAGCTGGGATCGGCTGCTGGGATCCAGCCTGTCCCACTTTGAACAGGACAGTCGTGGGCTATCCATTCTGGCCCTCTGCTCCCCTGAGCGAATGCAATAGAAGCCGAGGCTCCGGGGTGGATGGTGGGGATAGTAGAGTTGAAAGGGAGCCCCAGGGTTCTGTGGTTACCAGATTTTTTTTCAAAGAATCCGGGGAGACTTCTTTTTTCTTTTTCTTTTTTGAAAAGGGGAGAGGGAGTTATTTTTAAAAAGTTATTTTAATTTTTCCCCCAGAAGTAGTGTCTTCTCTTCTGTGATCTCCTCTGTCACACGGCCTTCCTCTGGGCCCTGGCCTGCTGTCTTGTAACGCTAGCTGCCGTGGGGTAGGCTCGGGTCTGGACTGGGCTCCGCCACGTGTCCTTGCCCTCCTGGTGCGCTCCTACCTGTCCTTGGTGGTGGCGGCTGTGGCATGGCAAGGTTGGGGCTCCCCTCTTTTTTCTCCTTCCTCTTTCTTCTCCTTCTCCTCTCCTCCTTCTCCCTGCCTTGGCTCCGGGGTTTTCATGGCCCTGGAGCGCCGCTGGGCAGTCGGACTGGTGGCCGGGTGCTCTTGCTCCCGGCTTGATTTGGGTCATGGGGGGAGCGGCGGTTCCCCTAGTTGACCCGCTGGGCATCCTCGGTTCCCCCTCGGCAGTGGCACCCGCCATTTTGCCTCACTGGAAGTCCCCATATGATGTGTCTTGTGCTGCTGAACCAATCACGCAACATTCATTCCCTACTAATAAATCTACAACACTTAAAATATAAATCCGGGGACATTAAATGAAATCCCGGGACATTCCAGGGATAGATTTTGTCCGGGGACAGTTGCGTGAATCTGGGGACTGTCCCTGGGAAACGGGGACGTCTGTTAACCACACTCTAGTCCAACCCCCTGCGTTGCAGGAATCTCAGCTCTGAATGTCAGCTCCCAAGGCCTTGGGAGCCCTGAGCTGGGTTTCCCCAGCTACTCTGGGCAGCTCCCAAACAGAACACTAAAAACAGAATAAAACATTGAAAACTTCCCTAAACAGGGCTGCCTTCAGATGTCTTATAAATGTCAGATAGTTGTTTATCTCTGTGACATCTGGTGGGAGGGCGTTCCACAGGGTGGGTGTCCCTACCAAGAAGGCCCTCTGCCTGCTTCTCTATAACTTTGCTTCTCGCAGTGGGGTAACTGTCAGAAGGCCCTCAGAGCAGGACCTCAGTGTCCAGGCTGAACGATGGGGGTGGAGACACTCCTTCAGGTATACTGGGCTGTTGAGGGCTTTAAAGGTCAGCACCAACACTTTGAATTGTGCTTGGAAACGTCTTGGGAGCCAATGTAGGTCTTTCAGGACTGGCGTTATATGGTCCTGGCAGCTGCTCCCAGTCACCAGTCTAGCTGCTGGATTCTGGATTAGTTGTAGTTTCTGGATCACCTTCCAAGGTAGCCCCACGTAGAGTGCATGGCAGTAGTCCCAGCGGGAGATAACTAGAGCATGCACCACTCTGGCAAGACTGTCTGGGGGCAGGGAGGGTCTCAGCCTGCGGACCAGATGGAGCTGGTAGACAGCTGCCCTGGATACAGAATTGACCTGCACCTCCATGGACAGCTATGAGTCCAAATTGACTCCCAGGCTGTGCACCTGGTCTTTTAGGGGCAGTTAACCCATTCAGGACCAGGGAGTCCCCCCTACCTGCCCATCCCCCGAAAACAGGACATCCCCTGAAACAGGGATTCAGCCTCAATCTGCTAGCCACCATCCATAGCGATCCATAGCTGCCATCCATAGATGACGGCATCATGATCCTGGCAGTTTTCTGCTCAACTCCTTTGCTAAGGACCCCTAGCGTGACGTTTGCCTCTTTCGCAGCCGCCACATGCCGGGTCTTGACATCCTGATGCAGACAGACAAGAGGCTGCCTAAGATTATGATAGATGAAAAATAATTCTTTTTTTGGGGGGGGGTGTCCTCATCTCTGGCCTAGTTTGGCAGGCCCACTTTGGCTAGGGGAATCCTGGACTGGCAGTGGCTCTGTCGCAGGAACACCCCCCCCCCAATCATTCAGTTTGTACAAACTTGACACACACACACACACACACACACACACACACACACACACTACATACGCTACGCTTCTGTTATAAATTCATAGAAAATCAACCATACATTGGATTTGCACCGTTCCACTTTTATTTTACTCCATGAAGGAAGGACTACAAAGGTTTGATACAGGGCAGCCATAATCCCTTGAGCATACCAGCACATCCACAGGAGCCCTGCCCAGTTGCTATGCCAACCCTCATGGTCCTAGACAGAAGACCATCAAGATCACAAAGAACTTGCATATGGGAGTGGATTCAGCATGGACTGGAACAAAGGACAATGATCAGATCTTCCCTCGGGGCAGGAAACTGCCAACTCCCCTCTGTCACCTGGAAAGTAGTCATGGGGAGGGGGAAAGGGGGAACCAGCCAGGTGACAGGACACTCAG